TCTGAAAATTTGAAATCACTGCTTTTTGGTAATACTGCTTTCATTAAAATCCTTGGGTAAGGATGGTGATGTAGTAATGCACGTGCGTATTTATTTAATTGCTGTTTGACTTAAAGGCTTAAATTGTTTAGCTCTCCTGTGAACGCTCTGCAATTTTTATTCAATAATGTATAATAATGTGTGTTTAATAATGTATTACTTACAGGAAAGTAGAAAAATTGGAGCACTTTGGTAACAGAATCACAGAATCTTCTAGGTTGGAAGGGCCCTTAAAGATCATCTTGTCCAACCGTCAACCTAACTGACAAAAATAGACACCCGCACAACAAACAAGAAGCATCACCATCACTAAACCATACCTCCCAGCACTACATCAACCTGTCTTTTGAACACCTCCAGGGATGGTGCCTCAACCACCTCCCTGGGCAGCCCATTCCAATGCCTGATAACCCTTTCAGTGAAAAAATTTTTCCTAATATCCAACCTGAACCTCCCCTGGCGTAACTTGAGGCCATTTCCTCTCATCCTGTCGCCTGTGACTTGAGAAAAGAGACCGACCCCCATCTCTCTACACCCTCCTTCCTAATGCTACTGATAGAAATGTCACCATATGACTTCTAGTATTATTCTGGTTATTTTGGCAATGCCATTTTGGTTTCTGCAGTGGCAGTGTTTTACGGCACTTATATGTGTATAGTGGCAGTTGGTAATCTGCCTGTAAAGCATGAAGTCAGAAAGGTCCTAGTCAGTGGTGGTTCTTCATTCTGGTAGACAGAGCTACAGGGGTTGAAAGGTTTTGCCCCAAGGATGGGGGTGGTTCTCACTGGTGTGGTGGCAGCATGGACCCTGACCGTGCAGTGTGCCAGTCACCAAACAAGGCTTGGAGTCTTCTGTTAAATGTTTATTTACCAGTCTGAACTTCTAGCTTTTTATTGTTCGCTCCTAGTTAAGGAAGTGCTTATTTTGTGTAGTTCCTGTCTTGCTTCCAACATAGTAACATTTCTCATACAAAAGCCATGTCCTTGCGCCAGAATTGTGCTGACTCGTTCAAAGATCAAGATTCCATCTAATATTTTTCTAAACTGGCTTGCTTATTTTTTTGTGTTCTGTTACTTTATTTTGGAGTTTTAACAAACTTGTTCTTGGCAGGGAAAGATGAAGCGCAGCCAGATGTAGTTTGAAAACATCTTGATGTCACAAATAATGAATGAATAGTGTATTTCATTTAAAACAAAAAGCTCACTCCAGCTCATGGCCTCCCTCCCCATATTTGTTTATATTTGTGTCACCTATTTCATAATGGAAGTTAAAGGAAACAATAACCTCAGGTGAAACCTACCTGTACTGTCTTGGCAACCATGAAATATACTTCTGCCATCATAGATTCATTAATTTGTTAGATCTCTTTTGTTTTAGATAGTATAAGCAAATTAATCAAAATTCCTTTCAACACCAGCAAATTACGTTCCTCTGTTCATTTTCATTTCTACAGCAAAGGCTAGGCTGTACAGTACCTTCATTATTTTTAATTACCCTGAAGCATTATTGTTGAAATTAATGAGGCAAAGGGGATGTGTAGCTTAGTGATTTGGGAAGCAGTAAGGAAGTAAAGGTTTGCCAACTAAGTATTTCTGTATTAGAAAAATATTTTCAGATGCAGTTTAGAATTTTTGTTTCTGCATTCTTCTTTTTCCCTAAATAATGAACCCAAGAAAGCCTTTGCAAAATATTTTACAGAAAGTTTGTGAATTGGGAGAGAAACAAGATACATGCAGACAGTTTTTCTCAGTATATTCACAAGATTCTGCAGTTCTGTTAAGGCTTAACCCTTGTATTTTATTCTAGAATTAAATATCAGAATAAACCTGAAATACTTGCAGACTAATTGTAAGATGCAGTAATTTGAGGGAAAAGTACCTTTGTATAAAGCAATAGCAAAATAATTATGAATGTTTCAGAGGTTTCTGTACATGTTTACATATGCTTTTAAGGTACAGTATAAGTTTGTTATGCAGCCTATTTTCCTTTTCATTTCTGAAGATACATCTGAAAGCTGCTTGGCTTTCTTCACAGCTGCATTGTGTTCAGAGGCTCACATTCATTCTAGGGTTGAATAAAAACAACGTTTTTTCTTTTGCTTCCATTTGATCAGGAAAGTCTGTTTTTTGGCAAAAATTATTGCCACTAGTTAAAAAATGCGATAAGCATTCTGTATGTCAGATTCCATTCCAGAACTCTGTTTCTCTAAGACATTCAGATTTGGTATTAACGATACCTCTTAACAGTAAATTATAGTAGCAAATTTCTGCTTTTTCTCTTAAGTTATGTTACAGTGGTATTAAATTAAATTATAGTTTTTATTCCTCTGTCTTATGTTGTGAATAGAATTGGGTTTTTATTATTTAGGAAGCAACAATAGATGTAAGTGTTGAAAAGGTCTTAAACTGTGATAACTAGACAATAACAATTAATGGACTTACTTTGTTATAAGTTAATTCTTGAATTCCTCTGTTGTGTGCGTAGCGCGTCCTATCACCCATGGTCCTGAGATGACAGGAAGGAGTTTGTCTGTTATCTGTGGGTTTTTCGTTTTGACCTTCTTCAGATGAACAGAGTTAAAGCCTTTGAGAACAAAGGATAGTAATAAAATAAAATAAAAAAATATAAAAAGCATTTTAGTGTGATAGCAATGTCCCTCATAGCTGCTGGATTGATCCTGCTCCTGTTGCACTTAATTTTGAGGTATTGGAATTTTTCAAGGGTAAGACAAACGTTGCGGCAACAGTCCCTTTTGTTCGATGTGAAGGTAAATGAGAACAGGCGTGAAGATGGGGTTTAGGGTGGTAGGCTGCAGCTTTAGTAGCTTGAGAAGAAGTAACATTTTTATGTTCACAGTTTTTTGACCCGTGTTTCACTTGAGAACGATGGGCTGAAGGACAAGAGGTCACTCCCCGTGTCCCATCCAGTGCCCTGCAGGGTGTCTTCGAGCCCAGGCCTGAAGTTCAGTTCACTCTTCCACATCTTGCTGCTCCTGTCTCTTTAAAGGAGCAAAGGAGCAATATGTATGTGGCAATGTCACTGCAGAAAAGTATGATTTAAAAAAAAAGGGAAGGTTTTCTTTGAAATCCAGTTGTAACATATGAAGAATCCCCTGCATGATTCATTAAGTTACAGCGTGGCAGTCCTGTTAATATCTGATAAGAAACATAGCTGGGAAGGCAGCAGGAGAGGGAAGCAGTGTAAACAAGTACTCTCATGACAAACAGAAAACAGTAGAGGATTAAAGCACTAAAACAGAGGAACATTGAAGAGCTTTTTTCCCCTTTGATACAGTAATAATACTCACTCAAACAGGGAATGTTTTCATTTGATGGCAGAAGTGAAGGAAAAGAGAAGTTGAGGTAATGCCGCATCTGACTGCCATCAAAGCTGGGTAAGAGAGAGCAGAGCAGCTCAAGCGTTGCTGCTGTTTAGTAACTTAAAAGTGAATAATTTTGTTGGAGGTGCTCAATTCAACCATAGGACTGTTTGGGACAGCAGGGCTGCTCTCAGTTATTGCACTCCCGGGCAATTGCTGCTGTCTTGGTAGAGGACGAAATAACGAAACCAACTTTTTGTTGGAGTCAACAAAGTGAAGCAAAGTGTAATCTGACAAGGGGAATATGGCGTACTGAATTGCAACTCGCATTGCAGGAGACAGGAACAAAAATAAAAATGATAAAACCTTCCTACTGACGATAGTTTTGAACTCAAGCTGTGCCTCTGTGAAGCAAACTGATGAGTCTGGAACTGCGAAGGAAGTTAAAAAGATCTTCAGGCTTCTGCCTGTTTGTTCATAAAAGCAAAAAAATGCTTTATGGCCCAGAAGAGAGGAGTCAGATCATCAGCATGCTGGAAATGTATCTGAAATACTTTGGCTGCTTTTTCCTTTATGTAGTCTGAGAAAGTAAGCTTCAAAATAAGTTTGGAAGGATCAGGGAGGAGGCTTAAAATAGCAGCAGGGAAGAATTGAGGAGATCATTGTTCCTTTTTTTTAATTTTCTTTTCCTTCTGTCCTTCCCATCAGACATTTCACTTTTTGCCTACGTACATTCCTGTTCTTTCCACTTAAAACACATGACCATTCTTCAGGCCACGTTACCCATCTGGTGGTATGGGTAGGTGGCATTTGTATGGTTTCTGGTGATAAGAGATGTTTTTTCTGCAACAGTGTTTAATTCAGTTGAATGCTGTCATGCATTATTTTATGACTTGAGTTCACATCAGTATTACGATACCACTGTATGAAAAATGAGGTAGTTAAGGAACAAAGCTCAGTTTCTTCCTGCTGATTTTCCTGTCTGGTTACAATGAGAAAGAAAGGGTAATAACTGGTCAAAAATCAAAAACTTTGATCTGTTGGTACAAGCACTTACTTGGGGGATTTGCATCCATCATTTTTGTCTTGTATATACTTGTACCATAGAATAAATTAATTCCTGACGGAATTCACTGTTTTTATAGGTAACATTCTTTTATTATTGATGAGATCTAGGAAATACAAGTCAGTTTGAAGAGTAACCCAAATAACTTTTTAATTTCTTTAAAGAAAAAAAAAAAGATGTAATCCTTGTTGTTTGTTTTCTCTAAACACTATCATTATTTGCAGATGTCTAGCTGTGTATTGGCTAGATCTTTTGGTGTATTATATGAGGTTTGGAATCTAGACTTGGTTCGGTTTGCAAGTATTTCTTCAGCATATTGAGTCCTGCAAATAATTACTTTTTATTAGACAGAATAAATTTTAATTGAGTGGCTGCTCTTTTATATGCAGTCTGTTCCATATCAAGATTATGAAGGTTAGCACTAGTTTTATTTTGCATAATAAAAACATTGGCTTAATTTGCTGCCTCACTGTAGGATTGCATTTATTAATTTATTTTACTAAAGAAGCATAGGTGCTCAAAGTATATCTTTCTGATGGTTCAAAAAAATGTACTTTCTCTTTTTCTCCTCAGATTTATCCAAGAATAGATTAACTGAGGTTCCTACGGAGTTGTGCCATTTTGTGTCACTGGAAACACTAAATCTATACCACAATTGTATTAAAATTATACCAGATGCCATAGTAAACTTGCAAATGCTAACTTACTTAAATTTGAGGTAAGTTTAACTTTACCACATTTTTTGTTTATTTGCAAATGTGTAAAGTTCTTTTTGTCTGCACTTAATATGTTTCTGGAACAACTGACTACATTTTTCATTTTATTGGAAGCTGTAATGCAAGAAGTCATTGGCTGTAGATGCAGCTCTGTGTGAAGGCGTTGTAAAGGCCAAAATGTAAAACTAATTATTTAAAGAAATACCAAGTAATATTAATCCCTTTCTTTCCTTTATTCTTCTAGCAAATTCAAAATGCTAGGCACAGTTGGATACTTTTTGTTCCCTTCTGATGATAAATTTTGTGAAACTACACACTTCTTGTAGTTAAAAAGCTGGAGGGACAGAGACAGAAGATTAATGTTTTTTGTTTTTTTTTTTTTCATGGGGAATGGAGAGGAAAAGCATGATACTTTTTCACTACTATCCTCTTATATGCAGAAGTATAGGTATTGCCTTTTTTAGGATGAAAGGGCAAAGAATTAGACACTTTTGCCTCTTTTCCATGAAAAATGTAAAAACTAATTTGTATAGAGAATTGCTACTAGTTAAAGTGCAGGTGAATGCATATTTGCTTGTGAGAGGGAATGTCAGCACCTTCTCAGTTGGGACAAGGTGTGGAGGTTTTTTTCTAGTTGAGTACATAAAAACTATAATAGTGAAGCTATAATAATCTGTTTTTTGCGAGAATAAAGTTTGGGCTGGGGTCAAAGTGGCTCTTGGGCTTTTGAATTCTAGGTATGAATGATTGATCACCAGTTTTGTAAATTCTGAGGATGTTTCTCAAGCCCTATTGTACTTTTAGCGTACTGTAGTGCCAGCCACTGTTGGAACACTAATTTTGGCTTTAAAAGACGGAACAGAATAATATGTCCTGAGTATCTGCACACACGTAAGAAATAGGACTTGAAATTTTGCAATAGTATTTGTTAGTGTAAATAGTGTTATAAAGTTTAGACTGCGTGAAACTATTAAGTTTACATAAAGTATCTTAGAAAATTTAGGAATTGGAATGAGCTCAATTAGAACTCCATGTAGTGATCTAGTGAAGTGAAACTCAATATAATGACGGAATTTGTATGAATCATGACAAACCCAGAATAGTTACAGGGTTAATATCACATACTACATAAATTGGACAATCAAAACGAAAGGAAATTTTTCAAGTTTTACTAAATAAGGTCATCTCCCTCGGTTTAAAATGTGCCCTTCCCCGAGTTAGCTGAACATAGTAAGCAGTCTATAGAAGGAAAGATATCCTTGATTAGCTAATCATCTTGCTTCTTGATAAGCAAGATATTACAGATTTGAGATTAATATTTTTCTGCCCATTACCAGCAAAGCCCATATGCTAAACAGAATTAGAAAGTGATACCAAGAGATATACATAGCCTTTGGGCCTTGGTGGATACTGTTCATGTTTTATTTAAAGAAATTCCTTTTACACTAATGATGATTTATTACTCAGTTGCCCTGGTTATCTGTGTTCCTTATCTCTTAGTGGGTTGCTTCTGTGTTCCATAGAACTTTAAAATTATTTTTACTTTTTTTTTTTTAATTTATTTTTTGGTGTTTGATCTGCTCTGTAGTGTAACTTTTTTAGATTCTAGGCTTTCTCAATTTGAGTTTTTCAGAATTATTTCTAACTGTAACTTTTAAAAATAAGTTATGTCTTGTTCTTCTCTAAAGGTGCTAGAATTGAGAATCCTGACTCCACAATAAGCGTTGATTCTTTTTTTTTGACTACTGCTGGTTAGTAGTTGGATTTCTCATTTTTAATAGCCTTGGGTTTTTTATTTGATACCTGTCTGTCTTCCAGCCTCGGTAGCAGATATATGATGGTAGTTTGCTGTGTAAAACACACTGATACTGTTGTTTGGAGCACGAATATACATCTTTATATGCAGTTTTGTGGCTGACCACTGGATTGTCAGTTCAAGAAGAAATGTTTTGAGACTTCAAATATTGCAGGAAAGACAGTAGTTAATATGTTACTCTGTTAGAGTTTCCTCTGGGAATTTATCCACAATCCACAACAAATTGATATTTTTAATCATCTGGAGATCACAAAGGGTCATGGCATTTGTCATCTTTAAGTTTTAGCTTCTTGAATAATTGTTACTAGAGCAAATTTTGCCTTTCCCTGTAACTCATCTTCATGAAGATCTTGCTCACTTATTTTGGCCTATTGTTTTTTTCCCCAGAAATACGATATCAAGAATAAAATTACACATATCAGACACTTAAATTGTTTTATCAATTTTCGGAAAAAGCAAGATTCAGAGATAAAACGGCTCAATATGAGTCTTGGAAAGAAATGAATCATTAATGGTCACAGAATTTTTCGCTGTATTTACCTAGATTAATATCATAGAATCATATAACAACAAGTACCAAGTAATCTTCAACTATAAGTGTGCCTTGAAGTAATTGAGAAAATAACCATTTTATCTGTAATTTATTTATTTGTCTTTCAGTTGGAACAAAAGACATCCCCTATACTGCCATATAACACCATAGGAATGTTTAAATACTTGTAAAATACCATCTCGGTTGACTGTCTTGTTTTCATTAGGAAGGGAAACAGCTGTACTAGGTGACAAGCAGACTTGTTACAATATTATTAAACTGATATAATGCATTTTTTTTGCAGAGTGGTAATATTCCACAATACTGTTTAGTCAATAATGCAGGTATTTTTGATGTGCAAGTGTTTTCTTAATGATTGCCATTGGAAAATTTAAATTTTATCTGTATAAAATCTGACTCATCAAAGTGAAGTAATTTTACAACTTTTGGACTTTATATGAGCATACAGTAGAGTGTCCCTGGTGTTTTTAATGTGGATTTTTTTGTTGTTTTTTTTGTTGCAGTCGAAATCAGCTATCTTCTTTGCCGGCTTGCCTGTGTGGTCTTCCTCTAAAAGTCTTAATTGCAAGTAACAATAAGCTAGGTTCCCTTCCAGAAGAGATAGGTCAGCTAAAACAGTTAATGGAGCTGGTATGTTACTCATCTTTTTTTTATATTTTTTTTTCTTTTGACTTGGTATTTAACTAGAAACTGTAAAATTCACTGGGCAAATATATTTGAGCAAATGCCTAATACTATAATACAGGTTAAAAAATTAACTTTTGAACTTCTCAAGCGTGTTGGGTAGTAACACAATAATAGTTTCCTTTATGTTCTTCAGGACCTACACAACATCACTGCCCTTGCTTCATTCAAAACTCAGCTTTGAAGTTCCCCATCTTTACCAGTTTTACTCCCTGCCTGCACTGGCCCCCTGTTTTGGTGTCTCAGGTCCCTACTTCTGGCTTCAGGCTCTGCAAAGCTTTATCTCCTACAGTAGCACCCTCCCCTTCTGCTGCCTTTCTCCCTGTTATTGCGATCTGCTTACCACATTGCATTCCACTCCTGATAGTGGTCTTCTCAGTCTGTTTTCATTTTATTTCACTATTTCTGTCATGCAACCTTCCTTTCCTGGAACACCCATCTAAACAGATACACAAAATTATTGTATTCGTTTTTTTTTCAAAGCTGTCCACATGACTACTGTTTCTGCAAGCACTAGATCATCTATAACCCATTGTCTAATAAATGAAAATCTGAAAAGGAAAAAAAATTGTTTGGTACCTTAACATACAATTAATTTAATTGCACATGTTTTTTTTTTTTTTTTAAAGCTTGTATGTGGAATATATACAAGAATGTGGAATATGTGGAATGTATACAAGAGAATCCTTCCCTTTCTCTCTCTTTATCTTCCTCTTTTGTGTATTGTAAGCTGAGACTGAATTCTCTGTGGTGTATGTGTTATGTCATCTGGGTATTTCTGCTCACCTTGACCTCTTAAGATACAAATTGACAAATAAACTATTCTGGCACTGCTAATATATGCATAGTAAAACAATGATAATTTAACTTTTTTCCAACTGCTGATATCTCTATAGACTGCATTTATCTTCCACATCTTTTCAGTATCTGAAAGTGTCTGCTTATAATATTATTATTTTTATAACAGTAGTTTCTCTACTGAATTATGTTACAGAAATTGAGCTGAGCTTGCTTAGGCCCCAGTCTACTGCTGGTTCTGCATTTGTGCAGTGAAGTGGCAATTGTGGGGCTTTTTTCCTTCTAGTATTCTTTTTGTACAGCATCCTGTAGTATGAGGCTTGTGTTATTTATTACAACTGATTTGGCTGTTGATGAGGTTTGGGGTTAGTTAACTTTTCCTTTGAGTTATATGTGAGCTAAAGACTACCAGGTTTGTTTTGTTTGAGCATTATTAATTTATCTTATGAACTAATTTATTTTTTATGTGTCTGATCAGTTTAATTAGATTACTAAAATGGTTGTGATTTAATTAGCCTTCAGAAAAAAAAAAAAGTGTTAGGCTATAGCATTATCACAGAATTATAGATTGGTTAGGGTTGGAAGGGACCTTAAAGATCATCCAGTTCCACCCCCCTGCCATGGGCAGGGACACCTCCCACTAGAGCAGGTTGCTCAAAGCCCCATCCAGCCTGGCCTTGAACACTTCCAGGGATGGGGCATCCACAGCTTCTCTGGGCAACCTGTTCCAGTGCTTCACTGGAAAACAGCATTGTTTCTGTTGGGCTTAAAATAGATTCAATAAAAGATTATGGTTCCACTTTTATATATAATTGAAGTTGAACTGTATTAAATACATCCTAATTTAGGGGATAGGATGACTGAACAATAGTTAGATAATAAAGATTGGAACCTGTTATCTCTTGATTGCTTCTAATTTAAATGTAGCCTAGCTTAGTGGTGAGAGGCTCAAGTGAAATAATTTACGGACTTGGCCTGAATCTCTCTAGTCAAAATAACCTGTTTTATTTGTATTAATTGAGGTCAGTGCTAATATTTTCAGTAAAGAGCTGCTGAAGTGCTTTCATATCTGATTTCTCTTCCAATTTCAAGTTTGAACCCTCCCAGTAAGGTGAACTAGCATTGCTGATGCTGGAAGTGTTAAATATCGTAGTAGGAGTTTGTACTTAGTTTAACAGTAGTCCTTATCCTTATTTTAGAATTTTGAAAAGTTAAAAATAAAAAGCTTGATTATCAATGTAGATTGTATTCAAAGGAGGTGGGGTTTGTTTGTTGGGGTTTGTTTTGTTTTAAAGAAAACATATGTTTAACTTCTGGAATACTGGTTTCCAGTTACAGTATAATTAGTGTTACTCTTTGTCATGAAGAACACAACAATTTATGCTCTAAAAATAATTCAAATGAGAGGCTATAGTAATGTGTCACTTCAGTATCTAGAAGAATTATGAAAGCTGGAGAAGGTCTGATGCTGGTTCTTTGTGATTAGAAGGAGAGGGTTAAGTGAATAACAAGATTTTGTTAAATTGGGCATGGTGATGCTCGGATGACCTGATTACTTGTGTTTGGTGCCACCATAAGTGTTTGGTCTATTTCTAGTGAAATGAGTTGCAGTATTTAGCTGGAAATGACTAAACTCTGATGTATTGGAAGAAGCAAATAACGGTAGGATTGAGAGGCATTATCTGTATTGGCATACACAGTATAATACAGTTTAGATCATAAGGTGATCATTGTTCTAAAAGAAGTTAAAAAAAATATCAAAAAATAAAGATGAAGTCATGCTGCAGTTGTTGCACAAAACATTCAGCTGTGTGAGAGCGATGCCAGCCTGAGCAGCACGTGGCCTTCAAGCGACACCACCACCCAGCCCTTTGGCAGGGCACACTGTTGTTTTGGGACATACACAGTGCTGGTGCTGAGCTGGCCCGGGGAATTGGTCCCAAGAAGTGACAGATGCCATCTGAGTGCATTTGGATCTTGTTTTACTAGGACTTAGCCAAGCACCCTCAGGTTTTCAAAGTGTTCTACAGCTTATTCACTGGTGGCATGGAGTAAAATCCGTGTGTACAAAGCAAATGGATTTTTTTTTTTTGATTGTTACCGACTTTTTGAAACAAATTTTACCCCTATAGTAACTCTTGAATGATACAAGCATAGCTCGCTGCAAATTAGGTCAGATCTTTCCAACTAACTACTTTCTTTCTTTTGTCCTCCAAAATTAATTCTTTTATGTGTATATATTTATATAAATTTCATACTTGTGGCACAGAATGGCTTAGATATTATATGCAGTAAATTTTCAGGCATTCTTTAAAATATTAGGGTATGTAGATCTGACAGCTATCTCACAAGAATCAAAATAACATATAAATCATTCTCCCTGCAGGATATATTAAAATTATTTGCAAAATTTCACTGGGAAACTTAATTTTGTTTGCAGCTGCATAGCTCAGTCCTATCTCTAGTGTCAGCCAGGAGGATAAGTGTAAACTGGTATGAAGATAATCTGAACCTCACTTTCACAGAATCACAGAATGGCAGCGGTTGCAAGGAACCTTTGGAGGTGATCTGGTCCACCCCTCTGTCAAAGCAGGTTCACCTAGAGCAGGTTGCACAGGAACGTGTCCAGGCGGATTTTGAATATCTCCAGAGAAAGAGACTCCAGCACCTCTCTGGGCAGCCTGTCTCAGTGCTCCGTCACCCTCAAAGTAAAGAAATTTTCTGCATGTTCAGATGGAATTTCCTGTGTTCCAGTTTGTGCCTGTTGCCTCTTGTCACCGGGCACCACTGAGAAGAGTCTGGCCCCATCCTTCTGACACCCGCCCTTTAGATATTTATAGGCATTGATGAGATCCCCTCTCTGTCTTGTCTTCTCCAGACTAAACAGACCCAGGTCTCTCAGGCTTTCCTCATAAGAGAGGTGCTCCAGTCTCTTGATTATCTTTGTAGCCCTCCGCTGGACTCTTTCCAGTAGTTCCCTGTCCTTCTTGAACTGGGGGGCCCAGAACTGGGCCATCTTCCATCAAAGAAAATTAATTGGGCAGAGATGACTCATGAACTGCAGATACACAGTAAAATTCTGTTCTCCGTCTTACCAGGCAGCATTGTACTTCTGCCTTCTCCAGAGGGTCGCTTTCTCCATCTCTGGGACCCTCCTGTCTCACATTGGAAGCCTTTAAATTGCTGGGCAGGGATTTAGGTCTTCACTTCATTCATCTAATCTGGGCCAGGAGCTCCTGCCTTCTGTTTATCCATGTGCTCATGCACTGTGTAACTTTTTTAGCTTGTATGTCACAAGCTCTGACAGAATCCGTGTGCTTTTTAGGAGTAACAGCTCAATCAGGATTTGCAAGTTTCTAAAATGGATGTAAGGAGGAAGTTTACCTGCTTGGATGGTTTGGATAAACTTCTGTGTATCGATAAATACGTTAATGTGGAGCCAGAATACTGTATTTGTTTTACGTTTATATTACACTGAATTTTATTGGTTTAAGACCATTTAAACCTTACCATAAACAAAATAAAAATGTTAAGGATTTTTATTTGTTTTCACGCCATTGAGCGTCGTGCTACAGAAATGAATGTTAAATTTAAATGCACCTCACGTTTAGTGTTGAGAAGTTGTGTTTGTGTTGTCATGGCAGGACAAAATAGAATTAATGCAAAGTCTGACCTTCAGCAAAAGCTAGCTCCTGGAACTTGAGTAGGTATTTGGACTTCACTTCAGTTGTCTGCAGATATCCATGAAGTGAAGTTCCAAACTGCTGGTTATCTAATTCCTTTAAAAATTTATTAGCCTGAAAACGATAAGCATTTGACTTTAGTGGTAATGGAAGAAATACTATCAAAATAATGGGAAAGATAAACACTGTCTTTGTCACATACACACTCATGAAGTCTAATAATAGTCAAGAGCACAAGTATTAACTAGAAATAATATTACAGGTCTTTGTTTTCCACAGCTAATCAAAGTAATAAAAAAAAAAAGTTGGATTGCAGTGTTTAGTAGGGTAAAGGATACTACTGTCTCTGGAGATCTTGTGAATGCTGACATGCTGTCATAACAGATCACTCTTATTGAGGATGTTTTGAAAGGTGGGCTTTGTTTTTGAGGCTACACACTGCCAGGTTCTTTATTTCTATTTTTTTTACTCATTTCCTTTAAAATTCTCTGTCTCTGACTTGTTCAGATGTGTGTTCCTAAGTACGCTTGGTCTAGAGTTTCTCTGCTGCAAGGTGACTTTAAATTTAAATTCCGTGCTCTAAAAAATGAGTATCTAATTATGAAGTTGTTTAAAGTCTGTAAATTAAAAATAGGACAGTAAAGCTTTAAAAATAAATGATCTGGGAACTTTTCAATTAACAATACTTTGTAGCAACTTGGGCAAAAGACGTACTCGTTTATTGGGATTTTTAATTTCCTCATCTAAAAGCTAATATGATTTCCTGACTCTGTTTTGACAAGGGAAGGAAGCTTTGGCAGCAGTGAGATTCTGTTATGAGAAGAAACTTGTCTGATACAGTGAGCAGCATTGCCAGATCGCATTTGGCTTTTACTATAATTTTTTGTTAACTACTTTTTAGGCTCGAAGATAGTTAATGTGATGCTTTTGACTAGTATTACAGGAACTATTGTCAAATAGATGACTTGTAAATCTGACTGACTAGAAATTTTGTTGTCTAAGAGCTCCCAGATACTGTATAAATTCATTTTGGAACAATCAAGAGGGTAGCAGTGAACATCCTAAATGTATTCCGTTCATTATTCAGGACAATTTGGCATTACCCCACTTAGCTCCCATACTATGAAATACTGTTTCCTTTTTATAAGGCAGAAATGGAAGCATAATCAGAACATTACTCAAATTTACAGGTTGCTTAGGATGTAAGCAGAGGTTTCAATATCCTTTTGATTCCACAGACCAGTATAGACCATTTGGCAGCAAAACTGGTAGCTAGTGTCTGAAAACTATCTCATTTTAGACTGGCTTAATCCAAGAAGTTGATCTTTAGTACCCATTCATCAGTTTCATGTTAGCAAGAGTATTAAAGTATAATATTTATTACAGTAATACTACTGTATATAAACTTGTTTGAAATTATGCTCAGTATAGTCAGACCCTATACTTTCCAACTTGGCTTTACAGTAGTTACACTGTTTTAGGAATGCTGAAATGGAGATAGGTTCCAGTTTTATCAAGATTATAAAACTATTTTAATTTAGCAGTCAAAATCAGGCTTACCTTAGAACCAGTCTAGGCTCTTAAGGAGTACCTTTTACAACAATATGATGAATATCTGTAAAATACTAAGTAAGACCTTTCTTTATTTCATGTGGGTTTGGGTGTGTTTGTTTGGGATTTTTTGGCTTTGTGGGTTTTTTGTTTGTTTGTTTTCTGGTTTTTGTTTTGGTTTAGTTTTTGTTTTGTTTTGGGTTTTTTTGATGGGTTTTTCTGTTTGTTTGGGTTTTTTGTTTTGGCTTTTTTTGTTGTTTTTGTTTTTATACCCTTGCTTAAATATTCCTTCTAGAAGAGCAAGAACGTTTTTAGAAAATCATATACATACAGCAGCAGTTTTACACTTCACCAAAACATATTTCCTTACAAAGCCGTGTTACTGAGTTCTTCATATGAACAAAAGTTAAGAACAAAAAGATAGAACATCTTAAGCAGATGGTTTTGAATGTTTCTGTAGAAATTAAATTAACTTTCAAAATTAAGTTGTTCTCCAAATAAGTATTTGCTCTGGGTTTTAAGTAATGTGTAAACATTTTCTCATGTATCTAGTTTTGCACTGTGTAGACAGAACAGAGACAGTTGCATGTTTTCGGACTAATAAAATGTTACAGCTGTAATAGCGAATTAGCTACAATTTCACATCTGTGTTATTTAATATTTAGGAGATGAAAGTGCATTGTTTCTTTTACTTTCACTGTAGGATGTCAGCTGTAATGAAATCACAGCATTGCCACAGCAGATAGGCCAGCTGAAATCTTTAAAAGAACTGAATGTCAGAAGAAATTACCTCGAAGTTTTACCCCAAGGTAAAAAAAAAAAAAAAAAAAGAAAAAAATTTTGAATACCTTTATGGTAGCTCTTTTGACACTATTTTTACTGTATTTTTTATCATGTAAGTGACTATCATTAAAAAGTAGTAATTACCTTGTGTTTGAATTTGTTCAATTTGAGCTTGCAGAATATAACATTTGGTGGTACTCACTAAATAACAGTGTGAGTTTTTAAAAATTAATGCTCTTTATGATTCTAGGCATCTTCTAAGTTGCACAAATGCTTCCCTGTGAATGCAGTGTGTGAACTATCAGCTGAGCTTCAGAAAAAAAAAAATTCTAAGTATATATTTTAAAATTTATTGTCACTTGTATAACAATAGCATTCTGTTCATTTCCCAGACTAGAATGGAGTAAATGCTGATTGTATTCCTGCCTGAATTCGTATTTTTTGTGAATGCAACAGATGGTTCATTCAGAAATATTTTATTATTTTATGGCAAAAATAAGTACAGATATAACAACTTCTCTCTTTTTTGTTACTTTTAGAACTAGTACAGCTTCCCTTGGTAAAGTTCGACTTTTCCTGCAATAAAGTGCTTGTAATTCCAATTTGTTTTAGAAAGATGGTGCAGTTACAAGTATTACTGCTTGAGAATAATCCTTTGCAGTCTCCACCAGCACAAGTAAGTAACGTCTATAATTTAAATTGTGCCTAAATATTGGGTGGACAATAACAAATTATAGCCTATAAAATGTTACCTTTTGCAATTGCGGGCTTCTGAACCTCAGTCGTCACAGATATTAATTGTTGATATATAAATAAGACATAGAAAATATCCTGTCTTGTGTATATGAGTCCATGCACTGCTTGAACCAAAATGAGTCTAGAAGATTTGCATTCTGTTAGTTGCTTTATTTTTGTTATTCCTACCTGCATATGACACTTAATGTTGGAATATGTATACAATTTTGAAAAAGAGAATCAAGAAACCTCCTGGATAAATTTTCTCTATTTTAAAAGACCCCTCTTCTAGAAGGTTCTGTGGTCATTTACTATTAACTTTAAAATATGGAGATGATCTAGAATGTAATCCGTGTGAAACTTACTTTGTAGTGTAAGTTTATAGACTCTAGTACACAAAAAAAAAATCAAACTTCTGTTCTGAAATGTTGGCCATGCTGAGAAATTATGATAAATGAATGGAACCTGGGCTTACTGTTTAAGGATAACTTTGTTGCTGTTGACTTGCTGGACAGTAGGTTCAAACTACATCTCTGAAAGCTTCAATTGTTCTAAAACAACAGCTGTTGAAATACTTGAGAGATTTTATTACACCAGAGAAATGTTTTTCATAACCAGTGGTGATGCTGTTACTACACTTAAAAAATACAGAGCAAGTTGCAGCAAGCACTTGAGCTAGAAGTGTGCAGTTAAAGAAAAAAATTCTAAAAGGGAGGTGTAATGCATCATAAGGATGCTTGGACACTAATGAAAACAGTGTGACTAAGAGTACAAAGGACATGCTGATTAAATGCCATTATTGACTAATATTGGAAATTCAATTTATGGTTAGTAATAGGCCCTACAATATATTTTATTGTAATTCTTTTTGAGTGAAAAGTTCATTTAAATTATTTTAAGTAGAATACATTCTTGTTTTTTGTCTTGCTCTCTGAGGGTATTTATACTAGTATACAGAAAAAATTGATTGGGTAGTTGAAGAAGTTCTTAATTTAAAAAGAAGCGAATGAAATCCATTTTCCTTTGTGATATCTATTGTGACTATATCAGTTGGTTTTCAGGAAGTTCTATGCTAAGTGACATTTAGAATAAATAATTTCTTTTATTCTACTTATAAACCTAACTTGTTTTTCTTCTCTATCAGATTTGTACAAAGGGTAAGGTGCATATATTCAAATATCTGACTGTACAGGCCTGTCAGATTAAAACAGCAGATTCACTGTATCTTAATGCCATAGAACAACAGCATTTGCCACAACCTGTGGAAGAGAGGTATGTATGAAAATCTCACTTTTTTAATGCAACTCTGTTCATATCTTTAGCTTCCAGAGTTTGGTTTGTTTAGATGCTGTTTACAGTGTACTTTTTTGAACAGAGATTTGTTTTACTTTAATATCTTTTGGTCTAGTGAAATCCCTGTAAGAGTTTAGAACAAAATATTTTTAACAATCAGTTTTGATTAAAGTTAGCAGCAAACTTAGAAGTGAACCTTAATTTAAATCTAACCTCTTACTCATAGGCTACTGGAATATGTAGAAAATGATTGAGATGGTAGTATCATTAAGTGTTGGATCTCTCTTGTAAATCTGTTAATGCATTAAATAAGCTCCAATTTCTTGTGTTATTTTATGATTTACGTGTTATTATAGATTCACTGCATAGTTGTTTTAAGCTTTTTTTATTCATACAGAGGTTTATGCATCCAGCAAAGAAAACTGCATGAATACTGAAACCTTTTTAAAGTGAAATGTGATAATTTGTTAGCAAAATGAAATACAAAATCTTTTATGTCTGACATCAGACATCTAGGAAGTTTCATCTTATATAGTAGTTTAAGGACAGGAACTAGATAGCAGCTCTTTTTTATGAGGATTATTTTTATTATTAATTTATTATTTTAGCTATCTCCATAGCTAATTGGAAACCAGTTTTTAGCCAGCTCTTCATTTGCCACCATGGGAAGTATAATATAACCAGTCAGAGAAAGTATGGTAATGCCTTATTTTTGGAGAGAAGTACTCAATAAAAACAAAGTGTTGATGTAAATAAAAATAGAGGTGTTGCTGCTGACACCCTGGGGAAGAAACAAAAACAAAACCAAACCAAAACTGTCTTGGAATCTCCCTGTTAGTCATCTAGATAGGGTTTCAAGCAAATTGTTTTCCTCCGTGTATTTGGAACACCTTTGTGGGTTTCTATCAGGTAAATGCCAAATATGGGAAGAATCCAGTATAAAGAGTAAGCTTCTATTTGGGAGATGCCTGCTGATTGGTTTTCTGGGTATTTTGGGGGGGGGGTTATTTTTTTTTTCTTCAAGTATACAAGAAAATTGACAGGAATTTCATCTCCTGTATGACATCTTGGTCATAGAGGTTAGGATAAGGGGACAGTACAGAGTAGGTACCAGTTCCCAACTAACAGCCTAATGATCTATCACATAATAATTACCATATTTTTATTTTAGAGAATAACTTCACACTTCTAAAGAAAAAACATAACCTGGTTAAAATTTCAATATGCTGTTTCTACACAAAATCCATCGTGTTTGCTGCCAGGCGATAATTTAATATTAGGATTAATCAGATACCTTATTCATGTGAAGACTGATAAAGTTATTTTTTTAAATTACTGTGTCAATCTGAATTCAGAATTACTGCTTTCAGGATTGCAAATGAGTGGATAATAAAGCGTATTTTAAAAAAGGAAAAGTTAGTTGAGTATTGCATCTAATAGTGTACTTTAAATGAGTAGAGGTCATATTAGGTAATGAAACCAAAAGAGAGAGTAGTTGCCATTATTATAGTTGTTTTCTTAAAAAACCTAGATTTCAAAGTCTATTTTAAAGCACTGAAAGGAGGTTTCTGTGTTAATAATTACTTCAAGCCGCAGGGAAATACCAGTTCATTTTTAATGCATCAATGGTTACAATTATATCCGTTGACTCCAGTTTGAGTTCAACTAGTTTAGTTCCTTATCTCGTGGCTAAATGACTTCAGTCAGACTCCTGTGCTACTTAGCTAGTAACTAAGCCTTTTAATCTAGTGCATAGACAAAAGTGAGCTTTAATTCTGTTGTTTTCGTTAATCGTTAATGTTGTTTTGACTAACCAGCCACCCCATCTGATCTATTTCACTATCAACAGACTTCAAACATGTAATTTTTAACCATACTATGCTATTTCGCCCTCTACCATTGAGAGTGGTTTGAATTTTGCTTTGATTTAAGGGAAACGAGGACAAAATTCTAATGGTAAATCCTATGATAGCTTTTTACTGTTTGGGGTTTTAAAATTATTTTCATTTTTATTCATATCTAGCATTGATGACATCTACCCAAGTAAAAAGGACTCAGATTCAGGTGTTGGTAGTGATAATGGAGATAAACGTTTGTCAGCAACAGAGGTAAGTTGCCTGAATATTGTGTCCCGCTCCCCTTCCCTCTGCCTCCATATTGACTGTACTTTAGGTTGGGTAACAGTGTGAATTAAGTAGCTCCTTGATACTTAAAATAATTTTACTCTGATTCGTTAGTGTTTCTCTCCTCCTTAGAGGAAAAGAGATTTTGTTGCTTTTGAAACAAATGTATAAAGAATCAAACTTAGGTGCTGAATTTGTCGTTACTAAAAAGCAAATTGAAAATGAATCCACTTACACACTGATTGGTGTTTTAAATACAAAAGCCTTTAAAAGAAATGACAGGGGTCTCCAAGTATTTGGGCAAGTTTCTTGCTAGATGGAAATGAAGCAGAATTATCGTGATTTCTAGTCAGATTTCTGATGGTTTCCTTCTAGTTTTTGGTGTACAGTCCTTTCAGAGAGCTTTACAAACTGTTTTGCCATTCTCACGCTTCCTGAAACTGAGTTAGCTTGTTAGTGAAACTGCAGTTCCAGAATTTCCTTTTTAGCTATAAATAACACCTTTAGAAAATAGATCTTTCCTGTAATCAAAATGTAGCGATGGGAATGCTGCAAAAAATTGTTTTAAAGACAACCAACAGTAAACCAATACGTCTTTATTAGCGCAAAGACTTTTTCCATGAGAGCTATTTACTCATTCCATCCCCTCCTGACTACTGCTCTATTACTATAAAGGAGAAAATAAAAGGAGTAATCCCAAATGTGTTTGGTAGTAAATTCACCACTCACTTTTCCTTCTGAGGCAGCCCTTAACGCTCGTGTTACACATGGGAATTGTGCAAGAAATACTCGCGTGTTGCAAATACAGGTACATTGCTAATCACAATCAGAAATCTACATACTAAACATGAGATAAACATTAAATGACCAGTCATAAATTATCATTAAAATACATACTTGGAAGGTTTTTATAAATACAACAGACATATATAACAAACTACAATTTAGTCTGTGGCTGTTGGGTTTCAGCTGTTTTACAGAAAATGCTACAAGGTTGTTTTGCGTTTGTGTAACTTGAAAATCATAACTTAAATGCATCACTTGTTTGAATACTAATGTATCTTTTTAGGAAGCTTGCTAATTAGCTTTAGGTCCATACACTTAGGAGGGAGTACTTGATGAAATGAGCAATTTACGTATTTCTGTGTGGCTTGTTAGTAGGGTCATTACAGGGTCAATTCCTCAGAGCTCTAGTCATCTTTGGCATTTTGGGTGGAAGATACCTTGAAGTGTTGCTGTAAAATTGATCATGGCAACTTGAAGGCAAGTTCTGCGTTAAGGTAGTGCACTCGTGTACCTCATCTTTTAGGAACAGTGTAGCATCTTGATTCATTTTCCACATCCCTTTGGCCTTTTTCCTTAGTTAAGATTCATTAGAACGGGTTACTCATTAAGATCCAGGTGGTGTCCCTGCTTCATTACCCGTAAGAGCAACACTTTAGGACCAGCAAGAATGTATGTGAAGATTACTTCAAAATGCATCAATTTAATTCAGTATTGGAGTAATATTAGGTATTTAAAATGAAAATTGGACTCTTCAGCCTGTCTTTTTGTTTCTTATATGTCTATTGTTGTCTTCTATTGCTAGCTGAATTAAAATAAAACTGTGGACAAAGGAAGTGACATACAGTATTTCACCTATGAAAAAGCATTATTTATGTATTATTGCATTTTGGATAGTTTCTGTTTCGTAGTACGCTGGCAGGAAGCACCTGGAAAATCAGTTGCAGAATTCTGTAGGCTCTGAAAATGAGATGTAGCCTGTTAAAGGAATGATATTCTCTTTCCAAATTGAATGACCTGTGACTTTTTTTTTACACCAACATTCCACAATACTTTTCTAAAAGCTGTATGTGTTACTCTGCTGAGAAAAAAATCTTGCCTGTTTTAGTATTCAGAACTTTTAATAATGCATATAAGAACATTTTACTGTAATATACTTCAAATGATAGTTGGGAAATTGACAAAATATGAATCTTTGATCTAGAATAACTAAATATCAATGTGATCAAATGTCACATGAGATACAGCCTGAAAGAAAGAGAAGGAACTTCACTGTAACCTTGGTTGTCTGAACAAATTTATACTGTGCATGTCTTTTTTTTTTTATTTTATTTTTTTAAAAAACCTCTTGGATTATTGTTTCAAGTCTAAAAGAACTAGTGACTTTTGTGCTTAGAATACTTGGGAGTGTGATTTGCTTGTTGTCTGTTTTGAGATATTTATTTAATATTAAAACAAAATTTGTTTTTAAATTTAAAATTTATTTTAAAAATTGACAAATAGGAACAGTACTGCAATGGTAGTTCACTTTGTTGTGAAGCTCCAATACTTTTGATAAGGCTTTTTCAAGTCCCTGAACAATTTTTTTCTCTTTAAGTGGAAGAATACAACCAGCAAATTCATAGAGTTAATAACCTTCATTTATGGTGGTCCACATTTACAAAATGTGTTAAGACCAGGGTATTCTTGGTAAATAGGAATAATCGCGTCTATCTTTGATACAGTTTTTTAAGAGTAAAGATATTTGCTCCATCCCTTATAACAAACCTTAGCTTCAGGATTTGAAAAGAGTATTTTCTACATGGAATATGAACATATAAAGGTACCAAGGATAACATAATTCTTCTAGAAGCTAGCAACTGTGGAACTGAGTAATTGGTTGTATGTAACAATCTGCCATTCCAATGCAGATCTTGTGTTACAATGGGCTGAACTGATAAACAGGGAAATACCATTTCCTTAATATTTATATATATATATATATATATATTTAAAGGATATAGAGCAAACTGCTCTATTATAGCAGTTACAATTACAGAACACGTGTATGGAATATGTGTGTGGGCAGAGTAGTGAGTTACAGAAAGACAGAGTGTCTAAAGAACGGGCAACACCAGTGGGTTTGCTGGGAAATACATTTGCAAAGCTCTGAGGGATTGGTTGTAGTGGTAAGGTAACTCTATCTCAGGAGAGTAAGAATAAAAACTTGGCCTCTTGTGCACACTGTGTTTTTGCTGTAGTTCACCTCAGGAGAGAACGTGATCAGGTCCCACTGTGAGCAGGTCACCTCCTGTCCTGCAGAACAGCAGAGCCGTAGTGACATGGGATAGGAATGAAGGCTGGTGTGTCCGTGCTTCTTTGTGTAGCCACTATCTGTAAAGTCATAGACAGGATGAGCTTATAGATAAGTGATGTGTTTTAATGTATCAACTAATACAGCTGAAAAAAAACCAGATGAGCTTTTAAGTCAATGAAGAAAAGCTGAAGTTCTTGAGAGTTCATGCTTTTTGTTTTCAGCTCTACCAGTTAATCTAATAAAAGATATTACCTGTGAGAAGAGACCAGCACCAACCTCTCTACAGTGTCCTTTCAAGTGGTTGTAGAGAGTGATGAGGTCTCCCCTCAGCCTCCTCTTCCTCACACTAAACAGCCCCAACTCCCTCAGCCGCTCCTCATACGATTTGTTTTCCAGCCCCCTCACCAGCTTCGTTGCTTGTTATTGCCTCAGCCTATTGCTTTAGGCATTAACCTAACAGGCTGCACAGTAATGCTGGGGAGAAGAGTCTTGGAGGGAAAGAAGAAAGGACTGTGGTATGAGGCTCAGTTTTTCTGCAGGCTTTGGTGGCTACAAGGAGCCTCTGTTTTCAGCTGTTGCAGGGAAGTGCAGTTCAAAGGTGTCACTGGAAGGAGAGGACTAGTGCGGTGAGGACGGTGTGAAAAGAGGACAGATGAATTGTGCTGCTTGGCAAGACTACTGTGAGGATGTGTTCAGCATGACTCCAGCTTCCTACAACAGGACTTAGTCATTTTTGATGCTCTGTTATTCTCTCCCATATTAGTTTCTCAGTCTTCAGTGAGCACTCTTCTTAATACTTACGCTTTTATCAGTCTTGGTTTAAGCTGAAACCAATGTTTTTTGTCTTTCTTCATAGCCATCTGATGAAGATACTGTCAGCTTTAATGTTCCAATGTCAGACATCGTGGAAGAAGATCAGGTTATAAAGGAAGATTCAGTTCACCATGCTAATTCAAGAAAAGGTTGGAATGTAAAAAAGTGGAAGTTAAATACAGGGATACTCTGTCGAGAATTCTATGTCAATAATTTTATAAGACTGTAAATTCAGTTTGCAAAAATCACGGCCCAACAAGCATCAATCTTTCAGGAGTCTACAAGCATCATCTTTAGATTAGATACATTTTGTTTACTGCTATTTATCCTTGGAATTTTCAGTGTTTAATTTTTCACTGGATAAATGCCTTATTAAATTGATTTTTCTTGCTTATATTCTAGTTGAACGACAGGTATTTTCACTAACCTATGCATTTTAATTGTTTTGTAATAAATGCCTGCCTGCCTACCCAAAAGGCTTTGAGCATATGTATGTAGCCACATAAACAAGAAAAAAAAATTTTATTTAAAAGTATTTTAACTATACTGAATTGAGGTCCTTATAGTCATTTTCCACAGCAATTCCAAGGAACTTGTTCCACCTTGCCTCAAGAGTTAATAAATTCTGGTTCTGATTGGGGAAGAAGAGTGAGAGTTAGTTTAAACTGTGCTTCCCAACCAGTAATATCGATGTGTTATTACTTTTATCAAATGCTAACTCAGGTTCTGTGTTAGTAATATACAAAGCAGAGTCCATTTCTGTACTTGGACTTAATGCATATATAAAGCTTTATTAACTGAAGTCAGCATTACCTCTGGAAAGAAGTAAAACTCTTCAGATTTTGAGAGAAGATGTAATTTGATCTAAATTTTATTCTAGTAACTTATATTTTTCTAAATTTATCTCATACTATTAAACAATGTTTCTCCAAGGTCTGCACATACTAATGATAAACAGCAGGATGAAGTCAGTGAGTTGCAGGTGGAAACCACATAAAGAGGAAAAGATCGGCCTTTCCCCAGTGTTACATACTAGATTAAATAAACTTCAGTTGAGATACTCATCAGAATTTAGTAGAATACCAAGTATTCTAAGTATGTAAGAGCATTAGATGCTGCCGTGTTCATTAGTACACTGGAGGGGGAGTATGTTATAGGATCAGACCACTTCAAACAGAGGAGAAAATTATTACTGCCTTATCCCCCTGGAAGTGGTACATGTGAGCAAGGGATTGACATAGCTCTGAAGGCTCTGGATCATTTTGAGTTCTGCTAGGAGTCTGAGTGTTTGTTACAACGACTCTGAAGTTGCATTAAACTGCAAGTCACTGACTGAAACATCAGAATGTCTTAAAATACTCTGCAGCTGCCTGAGTGTTTTGTACCAGGACTGGTAAGACATACTTGGTGTAGTTTAAAACCGACTCCATTAATGCCTGCTGTGATGCCTCTGATCTACAACTGTATGAGCCCAGGTTGTTGATTTGTTACAACTTCGGAAGGAACTGGCATCGCTTATTAAAATGCAAAAGTCTTATTAACTTGTTTGAAGTTTTAAATAAGCTTTGAATTTAAACTTTGTTTGGTTTTTGAGTTCTGTAATTTAATACACTTAAATCATATTGAGTAACAGATGTTGAGCTGAATCAGAAATAATTTTTCTGTCTTGTTTTATTGTTGTTATTAGTGGAATTCCATCAGGGATCTCACTTGATTGTCAACGATAAGTCAAGAGAAACAGGAAACCAGTTTGATGAATCGGATACCCTTACTACTGAATTTATGAGTTACATTAAGGCAAGTTTGTGACAATTTTAAGTGGGGGGAAATCTCTTCACTCCTTTCATAAGTATAAAGCAAACAGAAATGACAAACTGTAATCATTTTAACGACTAAGAGACTGCAATTGATATTTATTTTAAAAAAAGCAACCAAATTTTCTCTTTCATAGTTACTTAAGACAATTAGTTATCAGAAAAATATATTTACATTCTAAATAAATGTTGCTTATTATTTTTTTGTTATGTACAAATACAACTGTGAAGTTTTGATTATTAGGAAGACTTATTTATAGTTGCTGGATGTTTAGAACACTACAAGTTGTCTTATATCGGCTTGTTCTTTTGTGGCTTTTATACTGAAAAAAGATTGTGTGATGTATTTTTTTTTTAGATAGTTAAAAAGTTATTATTAGTAGCAGTTTTGGATAGTTGAAATGTTACCAAAGTGATCATAGGTTTCCTGAATACAGATTTTCAGCAAGTGCACACATTTGACATGAACGAAATAGATAAAAAAGGGATAAAATACTTTAGTCCTCCCCTGACACAGGGGTACACACATCTGAAGCTGACTGTACGTTATATTATGTATAAACCTTGTGTTTCTTTTCCTTAATCTTCTCACTTCATCATCTTGATTTTTTTTAAGTAGTGTACCTCTTGAAGACTATTCCCTGGGGAATGTCCTCTACCATAATAAGATAATATTATCTGAAATAATGTGTTGCAGAGAGTGATCAGTAAAATATAGGTTGCTTTATTGAATTTCAATATAAGAATATTGCTAGAGTGAGCAGTTTCATTTCTTTTAATTTTGATATCTTCTTTACAATGGGGTTGTTGAGATCAGCAGGTTGGTGACTTGAACAGGTAGCACATGCATTTTATTCTGAGGATTTTACCCTCAGGGCATTTTCCTTCTTGTGCAGATTTCTGAGTCTGTTGTGTTCTTTGGTTTTGATTTAGCGTGTACTAGAATGCCTTTTGGGACAGTGGGGGGGTCTTCTAAAATTAAGGTACTGGTTAACCAAACCATACATAAAATCTGTACAATTTGCAGCACAAAAGAGGAGATTAGGCTTGCCTGATTTTGTAATTTTTCAAATGTTAGTCCTAATTTATATGGCTTTATTTATATTATTATTATTATGCCCACAGACTGAGGATCACCTTCTAGAATAAGAACTGCATTTTTGTCACCTTATGATATGTGCCCTTCTTACAGGAAAAAGCATGTATTTGATTCCTGTGAGGAGAAGAAAAAAGAATGGCTTTATTTATTCTACTGGGGAATGGGGCTTCTTTGGGGAATGTTAGAGAAGCTGGTACACTCTTCAGTGGCACATCTAGCAGAGCTGGATAGCATTTGTTGGTACAGGGTGATGCGACTGATGTGCCAAACATGACACAAAAGAGGATAAGCTTCTCTGTTTTCTGTTGTTTATTCTTTAGTAGTACAAATGCACATCCATTCAGAGAGCTTCTGTCTCTACTGGCAGCTGAACCGCTTCAGTGTTCCTGCCGATCTGAGACGAAAGAGAAGGGAAAATTGCAAAGCACCAAATGGAAGTATAAGAGAGTCATGTTTTCTAATAAGTAGCACTTCGTAGTTATAGGTAGGACACTGGGGGCTGTGATTTATGCCTATGTTGAACTCAAAATAACTGGCTGACTGATAAGAAATGTTTCATATGCAGGTTTTTTTCTGATTTGTTAAAAAAAAAAAAGTGCTCATGACTGTTAAGATTGTAGAGTAAGAATCCTGTTAATAATTATAGATGAAGTACATAATTGCTACTGTTTGCATATCTAGAATTTCCTTGCTCTGTAAACAAATCTGGCTGCGGGAGGAGACCAAGTTAGGAATTTTGGTTAATGGAAGCATTGTTTGCATACACCAGAGAGGCACAAATGAAATCTGGGACACAGAATAAAGAATTTTCGTGCTGCTTGATTTTCTTTTTACAGTTAAAGGAGGGTAAGGGCTGTTGGCCTCAATAAAATCTGCATAGTGAATAGAAAACCTTGTAATCAGTATCTTAAAGAGGGGTAGAGTGAGGAGTGGAGTGGCAGTGTTGGATTGCTTCAACGAGCCACCTTAAAATGTTACATAAATTAGGTCAGGGCTGAGTCTGAAAGCAAAATTTATCAGCCTACTTAATTGCAAAGTTCAGTTCTCAATATCACTTTGTCTGCTTACAGAGCAGAGCAGCTGAGTGTGATGAACTATTGAGAATAGAAGAGGACACACAATGGCAAACAGACGAAATGTAAGTATTTTTTATGTCTCTATAAGTAATTAGCTGTGTTGTTTCATTAAGTTGACCACAACTGGCCTTTACTTTATCAGTTAATTTTGTAGACTTGGAGGCATGACAGAAGCATAGTCTCACGCTTTGTGTGTGCTCAGTGTTGTAGACATTGTTGCTCAATAGAGTCAATGTTATATTACAATTAATTTGTATGTACCAATAATGCTGCAATATTATTACCTGTGTGTAATGCAAGCTTTTTAACCAGGTATTTTAATATTTATTGTGTTAATGGCATTATCAAAACTTGTAAGATCTAAGTTTAGTGTACATTTTAAAAAAAGTAATTCAATTGGAAAAAAAACCCCTCAGTCTTTTTTCTTCTTTTTTTCATAATTTTAACCCTGAAGCAATTGTTAATTCATAGACATTAATTCAAGAACAGAGTAAGTGAACATCAGTTACAGAAGAGAGTGCATAAGAAAAGGGCATTTAGCGTGACAGTGTACTGTGAAGTTGTCACTAAGCAGAACAGTGGGTCCTATATGATTTAAAAAGAAAAATTGAAGGAAGGGAAGCGTAAGTACTTTCTCAAGGAGCCTTATTGGCAGAACTACCAGGTGACTGTGTTTCTAAACCCTGAAAAGAATTACTGATGTTGAAAAGCAAAAGAAAGCATCCTGGTCCATTAAAAGAATCATTGTATTTAGTACTTATGTTAAAACAATACGTGTTGTGAATGCAGTCAAATATTGGTAAATAAATTTTCATTTTTAGAAGTCAGTCTGTTTAATTGAATGCTAAAAAGTTTTAGTTCATCACATTTGTTTATATATGTATTAGATTGGGGGACTTTGTTAGAGACAAAGCACTGGAGAATTTTTTCAAAAGAAAGCTTCTGGATAAATTCTGCACGTACTGGTGTGCAGGGAGGATGGTTTTTCCACTCTGTAGTGTTTGCACACCAGTTGCAAGATACAGCTCACAAACTGAAATTCAGACTACCCTGGATAATTGCTGTTGTACCTCTTTTTTTTAGAATGCTTTTGTTTTCTGTTATAGAATAAATTTATCAGAAGAACAAACTATTGATATAGCAATGATAGAACAACTAAGAGAAGCAGTAGATTTGTTACAGGATCCCAACAGGTACGGTTACAATAGCTGATGTATTAACATAATGTATTTGAAGTTTTTGTGAATTACTTTAGAGTTCTTCTTTAACTGATAATTGAAAGTTCTCTGGAGTTATTAAGTGCTTCTTTAAGCATACTGATACTTGTTGCTTAGGTAGTTAAGAAGGAAATGCGCATTCTCTTTCTGCGTATCTAGACAAGATTCCCAGTAAATTAAGAAGGATTTAATGTATAGAAGAAACCTAATTTTAGAGGTGGAGACACCTCTTATCCATTCATCTCATGTACACTACTGTGATTTTTCTGAAGTTTTGTCTAGGATAGTCTCATTTCTCCCTGGGACTCTAAGCTCTCCTCTGCTTATTCATGCTTGCTGTATTTTACTGGGGCTTGGAGAAGGTCTTCTGGCCCAGCTTCATCCCACCTCAATGGAGCACATGAAAGAGGTGCCTGAATTCGTGGTGGAGTATCTTTGGCTTTCCTCTGAAATCAAAAGGAGAAAGAGGAAGAGGCATCTAGAGAAAGTTATTTAGATTTCCCCTGACTACAGCGGGCAAAGTTTTATAATTTATGTGTTTATTTAAAGTGGCTAAAGTCAGGTGGAATTACTCTGGATCTGTGAATAAGAAAAGGAATAAATATTTAAAAGAAAATAAACGCTTGTCCTACTGAAAAGGTCTGAAAAGAGCGGTGTAGGTTCTTCTGTCCGGATGCTTACTATTGCTTTTCTTTGTGTAACTACTTTCAGAAATTTATTAAGTTCATTTCCAAACAAGGTAACTCATTTTTCTTTGCTATTTCTATGAGGTACCTGGTTTAGAGCTTAATTTGTCTGAAGACTAGTAACCTCTTTGTTGCTTCCAGCCTAAAGTATCCTTGTTTCTCCTTCTTCCCTTGACCATTTTTCTTTCAGCTGCACTGTTCTTTAGTTTAAATGCCTGTTCAGATACCACTTTTTCACCTACCAGATCTTCTTGCTTTTCAGGACGGAAATGCACTCCTGTTAGTATTTCTAGAGACAATTATCTGGCTTTATTTTGAATCACGTAGAGAATACTTGAATTCTTGAGTCGTATACCAAATACTTGAATCACAAGTGGTTTTGATTAATGAAAAGTCATACAAATTAGGAAAGCTTTTTAATTCCTGTGGTTTGTGTGTGTTAGTATACCATGGCTTCTGCATCTCATATGGGGCTTATTACTTTGTGGAAAAGTATTGCAAATAAAAAAGGAAAAAGCCTGGTTTAAAAAAAAAAAAAGCACAACATGAAAAAAAATCAGGTTTTTATGTATTTCACATATTTAATTTTCTTGTTAAATTAAAAATGGCATTAAATACAGAAAATTAATCTGTTTCTCCATATGTATTTGGATGTGCTTTCATCAGTAACACTGTAGTAGATTTGATATGTGACTTTTAAAAATGGTTAATCATGTCATGCATATCTGTATTTTTCCTATTATTTGTAAAATTATGTTTTTTGCATAGTGGGTTTGGGTGGCTGCACTTTTTTTTCTAACCTTAAACTATGAGTAGTCTTAATTTACTGAGCACTATATAAGCTTTTCAATGTCTCCTGTATGTTAACATTCAGGCTTACCCAGCGAGATACAACTGGGTGCCTAATACTTGCCAAATGATGCTATAGAATTTCAATCCTCTGGGCCATGGGATCCTCATTTCTTTTATAAATACTGGATTACATGGCAGTTTGTTATATACTTGCATTATATAAAACAGTATGAGAAAATTTTGGTTTTCATACTGAATAGTTTTTGTGTCTTTATCCAGATCCACAAAGTAAATGCTCCTATTGATCCTTAGTTTAAGACGCACAAAAGCTTTCATGCGCTTTTAACTTAAATCTAGAGCACATCAAAAACTGTAACTGTCCCCAAAGAGGTTTCCTTTGTGCATCAGTGTAACTCTAATCACCTAGTCAGGGTAACTTAATAATAATATTGAAATAAGGATAAATCTGGCTTGAGCTGGTTATCTCACGCCAAAGGCTGTTTAGGAGTTAGAGAAACCCCTGTAGGGGCTGAAGCAGTAGGTGATGCTGACATGCCTTAACATGCACTGACTAGAGTTCAGTGTAGAGCACATCAATTGCAGCTATTTTCACTCATGGGTATGACTATTAAACTCATAAAATGCTTGTCCAGTTATTTTTGTCCTAGTATTTTGCAGAGTTTCAAATCTGCATACCCTATGGTGCACACAAGCAATATTTCAGTTCTGGAAAGGAAAAAGATTGAAGACTCAACTTTTTTTCAGTATTTTCAGATGTTTGCTTCAGATTCCTATATTCACTGCTTTCTTTCGGATCATTGTCTGTTGTGAATTTATTGTTGCGCTGCTTTATTTTCATCCCCTGTAAATTAAATTTGAATATCTAACCAGGGCTGTGGCTTCTAGAGGGCACTAGAGGTTGGTTATAGAAATCTACAGTCTTCTAGATAATGGCACAGTTGTTGGTGGTAAACAGGTCCTTTTGTTTTGATACCAGCCATTACTCATGGTGATGTTTTTCTAATGAAAGCATTAATATTGCTTTGACTGAACTGGGGGCAGTGAAGCATCAGGAGGCATTTCAAAAAGTTGTTAAGAGATAACACTGAGTAGGTTAAAACCGTGACTATAAAACTATTTCATATATCCATTTATTTGAAATTAACTACTGAACAACATGGTTACTAAAGCTATACCCCAGCACAAGGTTTTTATTTCAAACCTTGCAGATCAAGCATAGATATTTCAGAGAGCAGTGGTGTGAATCTGTATCCCACGGAACCAGCAACAGCTTTAGAATTTCAGGAGTCTACAGTAAAGTGTGTTTATCTACCTTTTTTTAGATAAAAATAATGCATTTGTTGGATTAATCATATTCAAGTTTCTACACAATGAATTATATATTTACATTTGTTTATCTTTATACATAGCACTCAAATGCAGATGGACATGTCTTCCCTTGGTCAGGTACGTCAATGAGTGTATTATTATAAAATATTTTGGGGGGAAAGTCAGGAAATCAGCCAACAATTTCATCAATAATTAATCCACCTAGTAGGGAAGGAAAAAATTTCGTAGGTTGGAGGACAAAACTCATTTTTATGGAATTGCTTTTATTTTTTTACATGTGATTACATAAGATTTTTTTCTGTGTTTATCAGTTTTTTTACCTTAGTTTTTTTCCCCCTGTGTAGGGCTTTCATGTCTGCCAGTTCATAGCTCGGCTATGCATACTTGTCTATCATCCCACCCTCATCTCCCTGTTCTGGTGTAGGAAAACAGTACATTCGTTAAGGATATAACCCCAAAATATTTTGTAAACTAAAAATTAATGTTTTCCCAGAGCACTGTCGCTATAGATACAGAGAGTATATAAAGTATGATTTGGAGTTTTACGTGCTGCTTATTATTTGATCTGTATCCTGACTAGTGAACTGGTGTTCTTTATGATGTACTTTGTTTAGATTTACATTATCCAGCAGTTAGTGCTGGAACTGCAAGTATATAGTATCTGCTTACTATTTTGTTCACTTTTCATCACAGTATTTGTAATAAATGCTTCTGAGGTAATGTTTATGCAAAAAAAGATGTAGTTCTCTTTCCAGTGATACACAGTCTAAAGAGTTTTTAATCTTACAGAGAGAAAATGCTGAAGAGGAACTAGAATTTCAGAGAAGGAGGGAATTGATAATGGAAAAAGCAAAGCCTGAAGTGAGAACTTGTGAACAGAGTGAAAAATGGTCATTGAGTCAGGTATGGAGGTGTCTGGATGCAATAAATGTGGAAACACTTGGAATGGATGGTTGCATTCTGTCAGTTTGTGCGTAGAGATAATAGTGGGTATAGGCTTGTTATTTGGTTTGGGTTGGGTTATTTGCCTTAGCATGAATTTCAAGGTTTGGCTGTGAACGGGAAGTTGATTAAGACCTATCTCTCAGGTGAAAAACTGATACAGTGGAATTAAATAGAAGTCTTTTCTTCCAATAAACACTGTAGTAGTTGCAGTGGTTGCATTTCCCTGGAAAAAATAAGTCGCTTCAAAGTTAGATCTTCAGTAAAATTAAATACCTGATTCCCCTTCCCTGTCACCCCAAATATTCTTGTAGCTATATAAGCTGCTAAGTTTTTGTTAATGGCACTATTTTTAATGTGTTTAACATTACAGACGATATGTAGGTTGAGATAATTGTTTTAAAGTTTCAAAAGTATTTTAAGTTTTGTGTACATTACAATGATCCAGAAATGGAAAACTATGAAAAAAATTTAAATATTTGGTGCATGTTACTACTTCCAGACTTTTTTGTATAGCGATTTTTGTGGCTGCTTTTGCAAGATTCTGAGAAATAATTACATAATGTTCTGTATATATTGGTGTATATATGCAAAATATGTATATTCTAATATATATTTACATATTTTATAGATGACATATAAAATATGTATTATATACTTTATATATAATCTATAAAATATATATTATATATATATAATATATATATATTATCCAGACATAGCTTGAATCTATTTTATCTTGATGCTCTTCACATACTCTTATCTATAATCATTGTTACCATCAAATATTCCTAGGATATCCTTTTGACTTTGTTAGTCTTAATTTTCTCTTTATTTTTTCTTAAAATATCAAATTTTTAAAAATTGAGTGGGTTCATGTCTTTTGTTATATTGTTGTATGTTGGAGTTACCACACTTTATTTGGAACAGTTCTTATTGTATTGCTGAGATTAACAGATAAGAGTAATTCAGTGTCAAAATGTCTGTGATATCTGTATTTTGATGAACTCTTTAACAAGGACACTGATTCGCTTTAAGAACCTTTTAAAAAGAAGAAACAAATCTTCCTAAACAGTTGTAGAGGGCCTGACCTGCACTGTGTTATGCAGGTGAAAGCACCAAGTGGCAAGTTCCAAGAAATGGAAACACTTTTTGCAGGAGCAAGTTTTTAATCATGCTACGTTCTGTCTAGTATAGTAAGCACTTGTGTAACTAAATTAATTCAATTTAGCATAAATCCAAAATTCTGACTAGAGGCCTGTGTGCTGTGGGAGAGATTAGGCCTGTAACGTAGGCCTGTCGCAAGAACACAGTCCCTGAGCACAGGAGTGCTCAGGTGTGTGAGGCCCCAGGTAGAACCAGCTGGGATCAGATGAGTAAGATTTCTTTCTGTTTATTCTTGGTAATATAGTGGTTGAGGTAATACTCTGAAAGATGTCTAAAGATGAAAATTATTTTCTTTTTAAGCTTCAGAAGTAGCCACAAAAAGTCATGAAGCAAAATGGGGGTGTAATCTTCCTTCACATCTTGCTAACTCTTGGAAAACTCTGTGACTGTTGGGACCAAGTGTTCCAAGTGCTGTATTTTTTTTTCTTCCCCATTTTTTATTTGTTGAATAAAAAATTGGCCCTAAGGAAATGATTTTGAATTGAATTATGATTTTTTTTTTTACTCATGCCAGCTGTGTTTCTGCTGACTGAGTTATGATTGATGCAGAATTATTGGTTGTATTTCATATTACATGACTTGCATGTTTCCAATGTAACTATTGCAGAAGTGGTAACAAAAGGTATGTTATTGCAATTATAAAATGAGTTGGTTACGGAATACTTCTCTCTTCAAATTTGTATTAAAAAAATCTTTATTTGCATGTTAAACTCTCGGTGATAGTTTAATTACAAAATCTGTGAAACAAAATCGAATACTGCATTTGAACAGACAAACATTAAAATCCTATAAATGCAGGATTGAAATGAAGAAATGAATGATAAGTCTGCAAATAATTTCCACAAGGTTTTTTTAAAATCTTGTTCAACTAGCTGTAAAAGTAATTACTATTAATGAAAATTAGTTCCTTTCAGTGAAAAAAAAATTATGTATTAATGTGTATCTGATTATCATGAGTAAAATATCCTGTTGTGGTGTATCACTAATACAGTTGATGAAACGATCTCTTTTTTTTTTTTTTTTTTTTTTTTTTCCCCAAACAGGCAGAATGATGTAATTGTTTGGAATACAAGCGGGCAAGCCTCTCACAACGAGGTAAGATGCTAGTGCCATTTGTTTGTCTCTTACATGTTTTATATGAATGGTTCATATACTAAATGAATTGAATATCACAGAAAATTTGACTGACCTCATTAGTAATGACTATGTGGCCTGTGGTTTATTTTTGTCATCTTGAGGATGTATTAGGGTACAAAAATACACTTTCTGATAAGCTTGTTTCTAAGTTGTGTAGTTTAGTATAAAACATTTAATTTTTTCACATTTTGTTCATTCTGCTACATTTTCTTTTTTTGACTCTTGTTCCACAAGAGTTTCTATTGATTTCAGTGCCATTTGTTTTTGCACAGTTGTGTCATGTCCTTGGTTAGCTTTCAGAGAGGAGTCTGATTTCTATTGATCCTATTGCTTTCACAGTGTGAACCTCAGCAGAAGGTCAAAATCAGAAACAGTGGGGAGCTGTCTCCTACTATGGAGATTTTTTCCCCTTCATATTTTCTGTGCAGAAACAGGGCTTCTCCCTCTTTTTCTCCCTACATTGCTCTGTGTATGAGCATCTTGAAAATTCACGAGGACCCAGCCACATTCCACCAGTGTTAGTGAGGGGACTCCAATAGTTCCTGGCTCCCTGAGAAACCACTTTTTATATAGGATTCCCATTGCAGAGTTTGTTTACAGGGCTCTTTCTTTGTTACCGTTGCTGGTTTGATGATGATACCTCACCTTTTCCTGTATGCTGCTACTCCATTCTTCCTGCTGCAACTGTTCGCCTCAAGGGCGATCATGCTCTGAGGTATATGCTTAACTTCTTTTTTGCTTTTTTACACAGAAATTCAGTGTTGCATAGAAAATACCATGCAGAGTGGTTTCTTTCTGTGAAAGAAACAAACGTATCTAAGAAAAAACATGTCTTTGCTTTGTTTTTCTAAATGCACTGTGCTGCAAAACTGTATGATTGGTGAAACCAAGTGATTACGTGGGAGAAAAATAAGAAATAATTGATCTTGCTTAAAGCTAGGGGGATTATCTTGCAGCCTTTGGTCAGAAACTTAATCTTTTCCAGCAAAGGAATAGGATGGAATAAAAAAGGGAGGCTATATTGTCATCAGATCATGGTGGAATAGTTGTAGTGTGCAGTATTGTTAACTTTTGCATTTTGTACAGTCAGTTGTGCTGAGATATTCTGGATGTTACTCTTACTTAGATACATGTTTTTGAATTACACAGAACAAGGATAAAAGTCCGACAATGTCTCCTACTACAAACACTACAATCCCTTTTGGCCTGAAGCCACGATCAGGTAACGTGGGAAAGAAAATTACCTAATTTGTATGTACTTTTTTCTTTTTTCACATCTGTGTTATTAATAGATGTCTGTAATTATTTTTCCTTAAGAAGGCAGTGATGAAACATTTTCTGTACAGCAGTTAGAAGATTAGAATATTTTAAGGTTAGGGGTCTGAATTAAGATTGAACTTGTAGCAAGTATGTATTTGGCACATTATATATGGATCAAATTTTCATACCTTCCTAATAAATCTGGTGTTTTATAAAAGTATATGTATGTATGTTTTAAAAATATGTATGTATTTATATAAATACACATATTTTATACATGTATACATATATATCATCTGTGCTGACATCCTAATTGAAATCAGTTTTGTTTAATTAGTATGTAGTGATACAGTTTAGATTTTATTGAATAATATATGTGAATAGCTAGGCTTGTTTGGAAAACGCTTATGCATTGCTCTCGAAATGGCTCATTGCAATGAGTCTTTCAGTAGTTATGCTTGTGTAAGGATCAAGCATTATAGAAGATTAGATGTTTGCTTCAGCCAGCAGCTGAGCGTAATGAATTTGCAATGCACTAAATCTGCATAGCCATCTTTTAACAAGCAGCAATCTATTCATTAAAACAAACAAACAAGCAAAAAAAAAAAATCCCAAACAACAAAAAACTATTGATGTATTTGAGGGCTTGGGTAAAAGCTTCCTTTAAAAACAGTATTAGCTACAGGATTAAACTCAGTTTTTATCTTCTCCATGCTGAGGTAGTCAATGTTAAGTCATCTCACATCACCTCTAAAGAATAACTGCAGGTTTTTCAGTATGTTTCAGCATCCTAAGACTAATTCTGGTCTCTCGCATTCACCACAAATGCTTTTAATCAAGTGCTGGTAAACCACTATAAGCTTCTATTTTCCATAACAAAATATCTTGGCAATAATGGCAGCAGTTTCACATTTGCATGTTTAAGAAATTGCACCCATAGATTTGTTGTTTTAAAAAGCAAAGAAAATGGTTTTGAACCAACCTTGCTTCATGAAGAGGAAATTTTAAATATCTTATGTATTTTGTTATGATGCATAGTTTGAAAGATCTGTTCAGTTGCATTTCTTAATTTGTCAAACTGTTAAACTCTTTTCTTGTATGTTCCCAATGCTTCAGAGATGTTGTTATTTCTCTATATACTTAAAGTACGGGTTAAATGATGAGCAAATGGGTCCTTTCAGGATTTGGAAACAGTAAAACATTTTGTAATATTGCACAGCCCAGTGGCAGCTTTGTGGTACCACCATTGGGAGAAAGGTGTGTGAAGGAAAATGGGCTCATGCTGCATTGCTGCTGTCACGGGATGCAACCTGTGTTCTGCTGAGCTGCCAGTGAAATTTGCTCGTGTTCGAGTGTTAATGTGCACTTCCAAATCTTAGTGTTTCAGTGCGCCAAGATGTCCTGTACTTAGTGATGGTAATCAGTGAGGGCAAAACAGACTAGTGAATCTCTTTTTAGAGGATTTCTAGGAAGACTGGATTGCAATGATTGCAGTCCTTTGATGGAAGACCAGATGTGCGTAATTCCTACAGTTCTTCCCCTGTCTATTTTCCAGCTATGTATAGTTTTATTAAATACCAAAGCCAGTTGGTTCTAATCTGTTGATCTTCTGCACTGTACCAGTTCAAATGAATATATTTTAATTGCTTTAAGAATGCCAGTACTATAGTGTTTCTTGGACACAGCTATGGGTTGCAGAAAACTTGAGAATCTGAATTTGCTTTCCTTTCCATATCATACACTACAGAGTCACCAACCTAGAGCCATTACTGCACAGACTTCCACCTCATCACATCCAGTTTCAGTCATGTTACCTTAAATTCATAACATGATAAAACAGGGGAATTTGGCAATATTAAAACTTTAGGTCCAACTTCAGATGATATTAGCTGTGTAGCACAATGTAACAAAATGAAATCTTGCAAAGTACTGAAGGTGCATATTGGTTCCTCTCTTGTTCCCAACATAGAACTACTCTAAAAGTAGTATTAAAATTTGTTTTGCTAACGCATAAGAATAATTTACAGATAGAAGTAGTACATGACTGAAAATACTGGCATGTTTGTGAATCCTGTGTATTTTTCCCATTAAAGCTGGTTATCTTGCCATGTCTCTAGTTTCTTCAGTGTATTTCCTTTAAAACTTTGTGCAAGTTTTGTCTGAGTTTGAACCATCCTTATCACTCTCTGCATTTGTACTTGTTAATTATATACTGCTTTATTGTCCTAGAGCTGAGCTAGTCTCGGGGTCCAGCAATTCTGTGATCCAGGAAAAATTTTCAGCTTAGTTTGTAGTTTATTTTAATAGCTTTTTTCATTTAAGTTCTTCATAACCTTAGGGGAAACCTTAAGACTCATTGGAAATGAGTTTATGCTATTTAACTTTATTAGAGCTTACATTTGAATTACTTGGTTCTATAAATCTTTTAAATATGAGTGCAAGATTAAAAGAACATTCAAATGTTCTAACTAAAACGTGTACATCATTCTCTGTGGAAAACATAGTGGCAAATTTTCAATGAAAATATGTGCAGCCATACTTTTCTGAAATTTGAGAGTTTATTTTCACTGTGTTTATTTTCATCTATTTTAAATGAATGTTGCTTTCTTTTTGACCTTTCCCCCTCCCCCACATCTTTTCATAATGATTTATGTCTCTTGGAAAGGTGAAAGTAAACTGTTCTAGATTTCTGGTAAGGATTCCAGTTTTTTGAAGTACACACACAAATGGAAGTGCTTCCAGAGGATAAAACGCTTAAACTTCTGTGTTAGTACATACTGATATGTGTTCAGGACTGAAGGTCCTTTTATTCTTTCATTTTAAAGCTAGGCAAAACATTGGGAAAATTCATATGTGATGGCTGATACGGCACACAAAGAAAATGTTCTGAAAGGTAATGAATGTGATTCGACAATTTGGCAGATTCTTTTCAAGGCTCAGATATTTACATGGAAGGTAAAAAGAGAGTGGATTTTTTAATTTTTTAGAATATTTCCTCCTGTATTTTAAATACTTTCATAGTGTGAGCTTCTGAGCTGGGGCCGGTGCTGTTTAACATTTTTATCAATGATATAGACAGGGAAATTAAAGGCACCATCAGCAAGTTTGCGGATGATACCAAGCTGTGTGGTGTTGTTGATACACTAGAGGGACGGGATGTCATCCAAAGGGACCTGGACAGGCTGGAGAGGTGGGCCCAGGTGAACCTCATGAGGTTCAACAAGAGCAAGTGCAAGGTTCTGCACCTGGGCCAGAACAATCCTCGCCACCAATACAAACTAGGGGGTGAGGTGTTGGAAAGCAGCCCTGAGGAAAGGGACTTGGGGGTGCTGGTGGACGAGAAGCTGGACATGAGCAGGCAGTGTGCAGCTGCAGCCCAGAAGGCCAATCGCATCCTGGGCTGCATCAAAAGAAGCGTTGCCAGCAGGTCCAGAGAGGTGCTTCTGCCACTTTACTCTGCTCTGGTGAGACCTCACCTGGAGTATTGTGTGCAGGTCTGGAGCCCTCAATACAAGAAGGACATGGACCTGATGGAGAGGGTCCAGAGGAGGGCCACAAGGATGATCAAGGGGATGGAGCACCTCTGCTACAAGGACAGGCTGAAGGAACTGGGGTTGTTCAGCCTGGAGAAGAGGAGGCTCCGGGGAGACCTAATAGCAGCCTTCCAGTACCTGAAGGGAGCCTACAGGAAGGCTGGGGAGAACCTGTTTAGAAAGGCCTGTAGTGAAAGGACGAGGGGAAATGGCTTCAAGCTGGAGGGGAACAGATTTAGATTGGAGATTAGAAGGGGGTTCTTTACTGTGAGGGTAGTGGAGCACTGGAACAGGTTGCCCAGGGAGGTGGTTGAGGCCCCTTCCCTGGAGATATTCAAGGAGAGGCTCGACAAGGCCCTGGGCAACCTGGTCTAGTTGGGGGTGTCCCTGCTGACTGCGGGGAGGTCGGACTAGATGACCTTTGGAGGTCCCTTCCGGCCTGGGAAATTCTATGATTCTATGATTTTTAATTTTGAAAACCTTAAAATGCTACCATTGGAAAAAACAAAATAGTTACAAGTTTTCTTAGAGCCATAGTTTTGCTCTTGGAAAGTGCTTTTGCTCTCTGAAAAAGAATCACTCAAAATAGTTAATTAATTTCAGTTCTTTGTGCTTGATTCATGAATTGATTAAAGTGTTCAAGGTGGTGCTAATTGTCAAAACTGAGTGTTGCGAAGTTCTTGCCACAGTATCTTTAATATGCCAGACCTTGAAACGTGAACATCTACTAATACATCTTGCAGTACTGCAGAATAATTTTTTGCTTTTGTTCTGTGCCATTTTGAGGTCAGTGTGTTTCATAGTTTCTGCTGAACAAGGTGACAGCAACACAGACAAACAAACAAAAGAAAATTGTACCTTCAGAGGCTAAAAGAAGCACTGACAAAACTTAAAATCACGAAGCAGTTTGTATTGTGAAGTAAAAAATTGTTCCCTTGCAGGTGTTTACGTAGCATAATCTTACATGTGAATGCAGTGTATTTATTTTGGTAACTTGTAGAGGATTTGAAACACAGTGTTAGGATCTGCAGACGTGCTCGCCTCACTGTCTTTCAAGTTTGTTGAAACACAATGATCATTAGAACCTGACGGTATTTTTTCCTCCTTTGAGTGCTAGTTACTGCTTTTCTAATCTCTGGATATTTATTACTTACATTTGTTTTCTTCACTAACTGCATTATCTCTATTGTTTGGAAAATAATGAGAATCCTAATTACCAGCAGAATTAAAGACTGTTTATCATTTGCCAAAAATCTGTCTTCTGTTACCCAGTGTTGACTCTGCTCAGAGTTTAGGTTGTGCTGAATCTGATCTGGTGTCCCACCAGCCAGAAGCAGTAAACTGGCTTTGGAAAGAGGCATGGCCAAAGAGAGAGCTCTTGAATGGTTGAGTATGAGGTGAAGTTTAAGGTGAAGTTCTGTATGACACTGAATTATCACCATGTTAATACAGATTCCAGCATTGTGGGAAGGAGAAAGTCTCTGTGATTAAATTCCTTATGATTATTATTTTGGAATGGTATAAAATAGGGGCTTTCTGTGCTTACTGAAACTTTACCTTCAACTTTCTTCTAATATTACATGGTTTTAGCTGCCTTTTGATCTATACAGTAATTTTAAATTGATTTAGTGTTACAGTTTAGAATGTAGAGTAGTGGTAGCTTATAATCTCCAGGTTAGTTGAGGATCATGAATGTTGCTTGTGTGGGGGATACGGTAGATAAAACATGGAAATACATGTAGGAAACCAAGGAATGAGTGAGTTCATAATTGCTATGGCAGAAGTTACAAGGAACATTGTGATGAGATACAGGAAAAAAAACATTAATTAGTGACGTCATTGTGAAGGGCAGAGAAAGAGACTAAAATTTTGTCAAAATAGGAAACCAGTGGGAAGCTTTGAAAGGATGGGGGCAACCTGCTCTAGTGGGAGGTGTCCCTGCCCATGGCAGGGGGGTTGGAACTTGATGATCTTTGAGGTCCCTTCCAACCCTAACCATTCTATGATTCTATGATGGATCATATGCTGAAGATAAGCAGGGAGGAGATATTTTAAGGATGTCAGTGTCCAGTTCTGAAATAATATAGAATGGAGGTTTGAGGAAAGCTTAGGTGGAAAGCCTTACCACAATCAAGGAGGAGACAGGAGTGCAGAATAGATGTAGTGAAGAATGAGTAAATGTCTGCTGAAGGATTTGAGGAACAAATAAGAGGAGTTGTTGTGACCAGTTGGAGAGAAGGCAGGATGGTTGGAGAACAGGGACTGTATTGCTGTGTAAGTTTAGCTCCATAGTGAGTTGATGGGTGGTCAGGAACTGTAGGCGTGACATGCTTTTTACAGGCATCTGGTGAATAGTCTCCACGCTCTGTTACAGCTTCTGTGGAAATGTGCAGTTTTGCATGCTTTTGGGAGCCCAGTTGGATCATTACTGAATTTATGCTTATTTTTGAAGACTACAGTGCAGGTTTGCCAAGTCTTGTGGTGCAGACTCAGGATCACCCTTTAATAGAGGTATTGTATGTCTGTTCTTGTCCCTGGAAAGTCTGTAAAAGTTGTGGAAGACCAGAACTTTCCTAGGGTGGTGGGCCCGTTGTAGGTTTGGAGTTATTTCTGGGGGAATCAGGAAGAAAATAAAAGCAGTGCTGCATGGAAGTGAATTAAAACAAACGGAAAACATCTGTAGTACATGTACTTATATAACGTTTTTCAACAGAATAAGAATCTAAGGGGTAATGTAGTTGCTACTTACCAAAATCAGCTAGGAGGTTGTAATGTAATATTTTCATAACGATGTGTAAATTGTCTTTGGGGGGAGGAAGTGTTTGTGTTATATAGTTGCAAAAAGCACCAAAATGCTTATTCTCTCAACTTTTCCTTGCTGAAACTTCACAACTGATATATTCACCTTCTGATTCCTAGAGTCAAGGTGTTTGTCAAGCTATAATGTGAAATCTATGGGTACTTTTTCTTAAAACTTGATTCTAAACAAGTTGTGTGACGTGCTATGGTTACAATGATCTTGCTAAGCTTAACAGCCTTAACTGCGCATATAATGTATGATATGCAAGTACTAACATATAACTTTTCGTTCTTTTTATTCTGCACCATCTTTCATTCTTTTTTCAAAAAATTACACATTTTGTATTAATCACCTTTGAATTACATCTCTGTCATTACCATACAATCCTAATGCCATATATGAACTGCTGCTGCCCCCTTTTATCCCCCCCGCTGGTCCTTATACCACTATGGTTGGACTGGCTGTCACTCCCTTCCAGCAGACCCATCCCTCAGTCTTCCTCCTATCTCCTTCAACACACTTACACAGGCACAAACATGGGACAACTTTAGCTACAGTATCCCATCTGAAGGAGACAGTGACAATGGTAGGTGTTCCATATATAATTTACTTAAGTTTGTGTTTTCAGAAAGCTGAATATATGGCAAATGCCCCTTGTGGCTGAGGGTGAAAGACGATACTCTTGAGGGGATATTTATAAGACTAAATACCTCAGAGGATGCACGTTAATTTACTGCAAAATATGTAGTAACAAAACTAAATGGGTGAAGAGCATCACCGTTTTCAAGTCCGGCAAAACTACTTTTCCTGTGATATCCACTCCAGGAACTATTTCCAATGTAGGCTTAATTACTTGCTTTACTTTCAAGGGTTTATAAAAGTTGTGCTCAAACAGCAATTAATTTTGCTACTGTCTTCTTTGCATTATTTTTTTTTTTTGATAGATACTGACCGTTAATAAAAATATCCTACTCCAATCTGCAGTTATTGATGCAGGTGCATAACTAACTTAATTAGAAGAGGAATCCATGAAGAAACAAAGCTGAAACAATCAGCTAAGCAAAAATAGTGATTTCTGTCCAACATAAACTGTTAGTAAGCTGTAAAATTTCTCTGTGCATAGTGAAGGTCAGGTACATTAGTGGATATTGGTACTCGTTTTGTTTTTCTTCAGGGTGTTACTGTCACAGTACATTGAGTCTTGGCACTAATATGCAAAGCTGGCCCTGTTTGGGCTGTCAGAGCCATCTACTGCATTAATAGTGAAATGTCAGATGAAAAAAACAGAATCTAGACAAATGATTTATAAATATTTGATAGACAATAGGACTGAAGTAGGACTGTTGTTCTTCCAGTTGCCCTAAGTTGGAAGGATGTTTAGGTACTGGAAGGCAATGAAACTGTCAAAAGCATCAGATTGAAACCCAGACCACAAGTTTTCAATGATAAATGACAACATTTAGTTTAGAACACCTATATTCTTAGTTCATTACTTGACAATACTTACTATTGCCACAGTGGTCTTGATTTTAAAACCATAGAAGACAGCATATGTAAGGAATCAGCTCTATAAAGGATATGAGTATGGAATATAGGAATTGTGATAACGGTAAGTTGAAAAACTGAATTTAGTTCATGATGGTATGAAACTAGCTTGACATTTCACTGATGAATAATATTCTAACAGAGAAAAGGGAAAGCCAGAGGTACTTCTAGCAGTGCCAGTTTTGATCTATGTTAATCTGGAGTTGTTAGTGTTTTAGTCTTCTAAATGAAATGAGCGGTATAGGCTGGCTTGTGCTTGTGCATTTGGAACAGATGTCTTATGTCATTAAAGCTTAAGCCAAATGCAAATATTAGTGTTTATTACCTTGGGCTGCTACAGCAGAAAACTGCTTTTGCAATTTATTTCTTTTTTAATCGGGACTGTTGCCTTTCTGTGTAGAGTTTGTTATCCAAAGTGTATCTTCCTATGGTAGGAAGTAGCTCAGAGACCGTTCTCTGGCACTGAGGTGAGCTGGCACAGCATGATTCAAATCCATACCTAAGCACTCTTAGGTTCCAAACCAGGATGGCTGCATTTAAGCTGCCTTTGGGGAATGTCCCTTGCTTGTGCTATTCCTCGAGCTGTACCAAGGCATTGCCTAGAAGAGAGGTGGGTTTGCACAGACCAAAACTGTACCAGGAAGCCAAAACCTTAACAGTGCTGAGGATCCGTGCACCAGCCCTGTGTAGCTTAATAATATGGCTGCAGCCTTTGATATAGAAATGTCATGCATCAATGTAATATCTTATTATTTCATATCATCTTTAACATAGTTATCTGGCAACAGTTCTGTAATAGAGGAGGCTAAGTCCAGAGTTCCTGGGACATTATGAGGCTTGGAACAGACAGGTCTCCCAAGACCAATGGCCATACCATTAAGGAGCCTTTGGTTTAGCAAATGACTCTGTGTAATAACTTCACTGTTACTTAAATTTTGGACTGAATAAATCAATTAAAAAAAATCTTAACTATAAACTTTATCCTGACTTCTTCTCTGCCTCTCATTAGTCCAACCTTCGTTTTGTCTATTGAGTCAGGTTAAATAATTTTGTTGTTTACCTGAAGGATAATATTGTCAAAATAAGTACTTGGGACTCTAAATTCCTTGCTGCTCTATAAATAGTGCACCTATGTGCATTGTAATTCCATACAGAAATGAAAATTTTCACAAGGAAGTTTGTCCTTGACTGTGGTATGTCAAATACATATCCTGTTAACTATTACCCATTTAACTTGTTGAGAAGCGTACAAAATGCTTTAAAAAAAACAAATACCTATTGGAACAAGGATTACCTAATAACTTTGGTTGACCATGGGTTCAGAAAGCAGCAACTGGCTATTGGAAACAGTAAAAAATAGCCCTTCAGGTGTGTGTGGGGTGTGGGCTCCCCTTGCTGGAAAACGGGGGTAATGCAGAGAAGCAAGCAATACTCGAGCCTGCCAAAATTTTCTGTGTTAGAACTTTTTTCTTTTATAACTAGTGCTTTTGAGTGTGTGGTTGGTTGGTTTTGGTTTTTTAATCAGTTAAGCTTATTTTATTTAGAAAATTTTAATTTTAGTTTCCCACTGCCTTGAGATTAGCCTGCCTTTTTCCTCGTGGTGGAATATGTCTCATTCATGAATAGGATTGGATAAGGAATGTTGATATTTACTTTTCATGAACTAATGTTTGTAGTCTGAAATCAGAAGGAAGTGTGCTTGGGACATTCATATTGACTTAGCAAAGGCTTAAACAAAGATAGCTGTGGCCAAACTGAATGAACTCCATGATAATGCCATGATACTTCCAAAACTGAACATAAATATGAGCTAATGCTTTCATAGAGAATCTTTTGGAATGTTGCTTCTACTAATAGAGCTCCAGTGGCATTTAAATACCATTTAAATACGGTATTACTCTTCAAGCATGGTTTTATCTAGGCACTTCATCCGTGAAAGGCAGCAAAGCTCAATTATTAGAGTTGTACAATGAACTATTTTAAAAATTAAAATCTAAGTGCAATTATAGTTTTTAATAAATGTGATAAGATATTTTTATTTCACCTCTTAAAAATTTTGGAGCAGTCTCAAATTGTTTGAGTAAATGTTTTTGCTAATTATGAAATTTTAATTCAATATAATTCTGGAATTTAATTGAAGTCCTGCGTAAGAGGACACTTTGAAAACTTGGCAGCTAATTTTGTTGTTGTAGTTGTCCTAAATTATATGTTTTACTACATAGCTTATTAAAGAACATTTTAGATATTTTTAATTGTTTAATTTTTACCATATAGAAGTGCTTCATCAGAAATTTACCAATCTATTAATTAGCTTAAAATTGTGTAAATTGATAGGTAATGCTTTTGAAATGACGTACTTAAATCAAGTACATGGATTGTTGTACTTCATAACAACAAGTTATAGTTGTTAGCTATAGTTGTTATAGTTAACAACCTTTGTATGTTTGGATTTGTGCAGTCATAGTTACACATACACCTCTGTACAAAATATTAAGCAGCACATATCTTTTGATACGCTGTGCTTTGGAAATAGAGTTTTATTCTGAGCTTGCAGTTTGCTTTCAACAAAGATTAAATGTCAATCCAACCGTGGACTTAATCATCTGAAGGCATGGCTCTGCTACTCTCACCTTATGTGTGGGAGGTTGGCATAATGAAAGCATTCCGTTATGATGTGTGCACCTGTGTGTAGGTCCTTCTGAGTGGTGGTACTGGTGAAGCGATGTAGTCCACCTGGAGATGGGAACTGAGCTGCAGTTGGTATCTGGATTTCTGCCCGGGATGCTCTCCTAGTCTGCCAGCGGGACTTGTGATGACATTAAAAAAGCATAATGTTTACTAACATAAAGCTGTAATATTTAGGTGTTCTATTTAAAAGCAGTTTTGTTCAGCAAATAGCCTTTAATATGGTATTTCATAAAATTACTGATTTCACAGCAGTGTAGCAAATCTTAGTTGCTTGTGAAAAGATAAAACTTTGAGTGTGTGAGGCAAGAAGTGGAAAGAAGCAAGTTTAGTAACTGGCCGTAGTTTATTCTGTCTTGATATGTAAGGAGTCTGTTGCCTTAAGATCCTTTTTCAGTAAATAAGGGAAAGAACTAATGCCTGTTGGCTGAAGCCCATTAGGTGGTGTCTCTCTGTCCCTTTGGATAGAAAAATACCTTAGATTATTAATTTTGTTACTTAACCAACTTGTACACAGTTAGGTGTGAGATTCCTGGTGTCTGAGATTTCAAAGTGTTTATCCTACAGAAACTTTGTCATGTTTATTTGAGCCCTAGGTGCCAGAGGTTGTAATTTTGTATGTTGGCTCTGAAATGACTTGGGAACTTCATCAAACAGTTTACTTTTGGCCAGAATCTGGATGAAATTTCCTTGTACCAGGAGTTCAATTTTTTAATTTGTTACATATTTTGAGAACTGATTTTTAAAATTCAGCCTACTACTCAAATCACAACCAAAATAAAATGACTGATGTGCCACAATTTTTAACGGAACATCAGAATTACCGTGATTACACCCATGTGTACCTTTCTATAGGTACATATGAATAATTCAACGTTTTTCACTCCTCTGGTAGGTTCTATTGGCAATTCTTATATTTCCAATTTTCTGATGTGTCTTTTAGGAAACAAAAGGCTCCGCACTCCTCTTCTGTTACTTATTGGCCCAGAAATTATCTTCTCTTTCTTTAATGTCCATCAATTAATAAAATTGAGACTGAGCAGGAGCTGTATGTAGAAGCTGAGGTTTCTAGGCTTTGTGCTTTCCACCCAATTAATTGGTACTTAGAGTGTCATGTTTGGAAGGAGGAATGCAGGAGAGCAGTAATGCAAAATGCTTCTTCCTTTTAAGAAGTATTATTTTCCATAATAATCAAGTTGGCCTATAAGTTGAGTGGCAAACAGCTGACATGTATTTTGAGCATCTTCTTGTTTTTTGGAACCATTCCCAACAGTAATTGATCACGAAAAGAGGAAGTGTAGAGGTGCATATATAGAGAGATTTCATGTAATATACGTGGGCAAAGTGATCCAGTCGACAGCAGTAGGGTTGGTGGGAGGGAGTACTGTGAAGAGTTTGTGCAACGCTACATTTGCAACACGACTTTTTGACGTAGGCAGACTTACTGAATGGGTAAATCTGCCTACATTAGTCTTTGTTTGGTGGGTGGGGTTTTTTTTTAGTATAACCTTATCTATAAGCAGTTTGTCCTATGTAGGAAGATGCTTGTCACAGCTTGTTACACAATTTGGCTTCTTGTAGGAGAGGGTTCTCCTTCAAGGAATAAGTGTTTCCTGCCAGGTTAGATACAAAGTTTTGTGCAGATCATAGTCTCTAAGGGACAGTGCTGGTGCTTAATCATCTGAAAAACCTTGCCTGTTGAGATTAGGATTCGGTTGAAAAATTATCCTCTCCATTGATGGCACATGATACCATTCAGAGCAGTATCCTGAAAATCTCTATTTTGATTGTAATCCAAGATCAATTTTTTCTGTCCTCATGAGGACAGACAAATTTTCTGACAGCTTTTTCTGGAGGCAGTGCCTAAGGATTTTGCTTCATTTAGAAATTAATAAGCCAAAGTGTTAGTTTTTAAACTAAAATCTGTCTTTTTTTAAAATCATAGTGTTCTTAAGACCACAAAGAAATTTGGAATCCATAGACCCCCAATTTACAATTCGAAGGAAAATGGAGCAGTTGAGAGAAGAGAGAGAACTTGTGGAACAGCTCCGTGAGGTACGTATTGGTAGAATTAATTTGTGCTAATGGAATGTACTTTTTAATTTTCCTTTGAGAAAGCTGTCTAAGTAGGAGAATAATAAAAAGGTTAAATGAGGCAATATTACTTCTGCAAATCACATTGATGAGACTATTCCTGAAGTGCTTTATCACGGTCAGATGCCTGTACTTCAGGAAAGGTTTTGTAAAAATGCAAAATTTTAATGGGAGTTACTGAAATGATGTACATTTAAACAGCATGCTTTGAACTGGTGGAATCAAGAATTTATTTAATTACATCAGAAAGGATGAGGGTTTAGAAACTATTTCCTAACAGCCGGAGAAGACTTCAGTTTAGCAAGTAAAGGCATGATGAAATCTATTAATGTTGTGAGCCTGAACCTCTCCATGTTTCCATTTATATCATGTTACCAACAGAAGGGGTGGTATCTTTGCACTCCTAAATGCCCTTTTAAACTCCTAAATCCTGAAGATGTGTTAGGTGACTTTGATATCGCAACCAAATGCCAAGATTGTTCTTCTGTCATTAGCTTTATGGAATGACTAATTCCAAAATTACTGATTTATCTTAAATAATATGTCTAGTATTTTTTAATTTTAAAGTAAGAGGGTTCACTTTTTTTCTTCTTACCAAATAGTGTTTAGATGGCAGGTTGTTCAATGTAGAACTATGAGGACTTTTAGGTATTCATTCTCTTACCTCAGGCCCTCACCTGCTTTAAGTCTGGATTAATTTTCCTTGCTGAATTTCTGAACAGAACAGATCTTGTTGAAGATTCAGTGTAGCTGATTCATTGTTGTATATTACCAATTCTAAGCTTGGATGGTGCCAAAAGGATGAGATGCAGGAGCTGGATGAGACAGACAGTTGGTAATAGAGAAGAAAACTGAATTAGCAGTAGTAAACTGCAATAGGATGTAGTTCTGAGAGTAGTCTAGTCAGCAGTGTCAATGCAGCTTTTTACATTTCTTTTAAGAGTTGCCACAAGCATGTAGCAAGTCCCCAAGCAATTGTTCCTAAAAATAATGTCCTCAAGGTTCCTGCCTTGTGCATTATTTCAGGTAATTCTCCCAGTGAAAAGTAGAACAAGGTTATTCACCGTATTGGGCATGATCATGGAGACTTAATAAGCCTTTCCCTACACTGTATTATTATTAGGTATTACCAGTAATACTGGTTTAATTGTGTTAGTGACCTTCAGCTGCATGCACTATCCTTCTTTGTCCTTGCCCTGAAGCATTGTGTCCTGAAATGAAAGTTCCGTTGTCTCTTGTGAGAAGTTTGATTACAAGTCAAGGATTGGTGACAGAAGCTAGAAGATTGACCCTATTTGGAATTACATAATGAGATTGTTTGAATTAATAACATTTACTCTGGTATACTGGGTCCATTAGTGAGAGAACCAACTTCCTGACCGTCTCATTATGTACCATGCAAGAAGAAAGCCCAGAACGTAACAGTCATTAAGTTCATACTTATTGAATAAACGTATCTGTTTGTATATTTTGCTTTTGAATTGTTTTGTGGTCTGTTAGAATTTAGTGAGACTCCACAGAACCTGCAGCCTTAACCAAATTGGGCACTAAACATGAAGGAACAGCTGGTATAGTACTCGGGTTCCTTATTTAGAAATCTAAATGCACAGTTAATTTTAGTTCAGCCGCTTCACCTGAGCTGTATACTGTGAGAACTTTGGTGCTTCTTCCATACATTCCCCCCTTTTCTTTTGAATGGTGTGTTTTTACAGAAATTGCTCCATTTCGTAAAACTTTTTTTCTGCAAAGACATACTTTTTTTTCCTCCATTTGAGCCATTTGATTTTGTAGACATCTGTGGTCACTTCAGACAGTTGTCATTTCAAGAGTGATTCACCACTTACTCTTGAGCAATAAAGTCTAGCAAGAAATACTGGTTGATTTTTGTTGCTCAAAATCCAATACTTTGGACAAGTGGAACAAATTATCTGCTGCTGTAGTATGCATGATTTTGAAAAAGCAGTTTTTCACTGTTGACAAAATTGAAAGAGAATTGATACACTTCTTCAACTCTTCACTTTTAATTAAACCTAGTCTTAAACCATGAACTGGCATTGAAATAGTGTTGTAGGTGCGCTGTGCTCATAAAAAATGAAAAGCACCCTGATCTATACTGAGTAGTCTCCCAACAGGCAAATCAGTTCTTTAAGAGAAGGAAGTTTTAATTCATTGACTTGTATAAACCTGATGTAACATATTTGGAAAAAAGTCTCAAATATATTCTTAATGTATAACTTTCTGTACATATCTCATATAGCAAGAATGTTTTTTAATGTATGAATTAATCCAAGGTGAAAGCAAAACGTATTAGTACATGTGATGCACTCCCTTGTATGTATGGTCTCCCAAGTGCCAAACAAGTACTTGAGTAGTGTGTCTAGTAAAAGAAAAACTGGGAAAATATAATGAAAATCCTGAGTGGGTTCAGTGGAGGCTACTTCATGGTGAGGATACTCAAACAAAGGAAGTACAAGGAAGAAGTTTGGAGAAAAGAGTGCTGAGGGTATCATATGACTGTCCTCAACTGCCTGAATAATAATAATAATAGAGAAGATAAAGCTGGGCTTTTCAAAGATGCAAAAAGAGTGAGGGGCAGTGGCACAAATTGTAGAGAAAGAAATTCCAAGTAGCTATTAGGGGAAAATTCTTTGCAATAAGGATGGTTGGAACACTGAACAAGGTTACCTGGAGATGTTGTGGAATCTCCTTCCTTGCGAATATCCAGAGCTTAACGAAGGCTCTGGTCTAATCTCAAATTTATTAGACAAAGTGACCTTCAGAAATTCCTTCCAACCTACACTCTCCTTTGATTCTAAAGAGAATAATCTATTTTCATTTAGAACACCCAGCATAGATTGAGGTAATGTATTAATAGAGAATAATGACATTAAGGAGGTTCAACTAGTAATAAGAAATATCTATTTTAAGGTAATGGAAGTAATTATCTCTGGGAATTAATCTATGAGTTATCTCGAAGTATAGTGTTGGAACGTTTTCAAGATTGGAGCACAATTTAGGAAACTCCTCATATGTAACAATCTTATTGCAGGGGTTTTTTTTCTGGAAAACTCTCCAATGTTTTCAAGCTAGTTTATTTTGCAATATCAGATTCTTTTCCATGAATACTTTGGTTTCACTTAACAAGTATCCACAAATTCTCTTTTAAATCTGAATGTTTTGCCTTACCTTACCTGTCTTTCTGATCACTCTAATGCTTCGTAAGTAATTTTTAGGCTACTGGAGAAAGACTGCCTTTTACTGTCTGCTTGTACAGTGATTAACATAATATAGTGCTGATTCAAAGTGCTGACAATAAAATTTGAGATGCTTTAAGGAGAAGAATTGAGAGAATGGTGAAAAGGAGCCACATGTAGTGCCTATCCCAAGGCTAATTGCATGAATATGTGTTTTTATATGTATATATAAAAATAAATGCAGCATTTGAAGTGTTGAGTTCTTTTAAAGAATTTTACGTAATTCAATGACCAACAGTGAGTAGAGTGAGTTGGCTTTTAGTTTTTGAAGAATTACGTGTTATAAAGGTAGTGTGTTTCTTGGTAAAATGGAACTCCAAACTGGCAGTGTGTCTCCAGCATGGGAGAAGATGAGGATATAAATTCCTTTATTTTCCCCCTTCATCCATTTCCATATTAAAGTGTGTTTGTGTTCTACTTTTGCAGAACATAGAAACAAGACTAAAGATTTGTTTGCCTGAAGACTTGGGATCTGCTCTGATGGATGGTGTGGTTCTCTGCCATTTAGTAAATCACGTTCGTCCTCGGTCTGTAGGAAGTATTCATGTACCTTCACCAGCAGTAGTAAGTTGAATGTTTCTTATTACGTTGGGGTTGGGGGAAGAATGTTTAAAAATTACTGGTTTATTGCAAAAAGAGATTTGGTTACATAAACCAGGTTGTTGTTCAATGAATGTTCTTTGCTGTTAGGGGCAAGATTTACATTATTACAACTTCAAATGTTCATTAATTTTTATATTTTTTTTATAGAGAGAGATAGTCTGTGTGTGTGTGTGTATATATAATTATCCTGCCTCTCTGATCTAGCAATACCCTTTGTGTTCAGTACACTATGAAATTCTATGTTTACAAGATTTTATTATAGGAGACCCTTTTAAAAAGAAAATTAGCCCCCTGTTTGTTGGTTGGAGAAACATGAGGTTAACTTGAGCAATGTCTGGCTCGGCAGATATCACGTAACTGAAGTACTTACAGAACTTATTAGCATATTGTTCCTATTGGGTTAGATGTAGAAATTATTCCTTTTGCCAGAAGACAGAATGGAATAGAAACATGTGCTGAAGTTGTTTAATATTGGCTTGCCAAACCTAAGGACCTGAAGATTTCAGGACATAAAAACTGTGTAATCTTCTTGTTTGTGTTTCTTGAAACATAATTTTCTTAGTATTTTCTCTGTTTATTGATGTCCTTTTCTTGATCAGATTTTTGTTCCAGATTGCTGATACCAGTCTGGTTCTGAAGAGGTTTTGTATGTTTTTAGAATATCTACCTTTTTTTTTTTTTTTTTTAAGGGACATATAAAAAGAAAATTAGCCCCCTGTTTGTTGGTTGGAGAAACATGAGGTTAACTTGAGCAATGTCTGGCTCGGCAGATATCACGTAACTGAAGTACTTACAGAACTTATTAGCATATTGTTCCTATTGGGTTAGATGTAGAAATTATTCCTTTTGCCAGAAGACAGAATGGAATAGAAACATGTGCTGAAGTTGTTTAATATTGGCTTGCCAAACCTAAGGACCTGAAGATTTCAGGACATAAAAACTGTGTAATCTTCTTGTTTGTGTTTCTTGAAACATAATTTTCTTAGTATTTTCTCTGTTTATTGATGTCCTTTTCTTGATCAGATTTTTGTTCCAGATTGCTGATACCAGTCTGGTTCTGAAGAGGTTTTGTATGTTTTTAGAATATTTAACTTTTTTTTTTTTTTTTGTAAGGTACATACTGGTAAATATTTGCCATGTGCAGTCTGATACTCAATTCTGAGAATGGCATGTGGATTTCAGAGCAAATCTATAAGAACTTCCAAGAAGACAGATGTTAAGAAAAGGACATTTTTTCAGATGGTCTTGTGGAGTTTCTTGTACTGTCACTTAGTTTTAAATTACTTCTGTCTTTGGTAAAAATATGACATTGCCAGAATATGAAACTTGAATTTCTGGGGCAAAAACTTAATTTTTGTTGCTGCTTTTTAATTTTTTTAAGATAAAAATCTTGCGGTGTTTTCCATAAGAAAAAGCAAATATTTTAAATCCATTTTAATTTTATTTCAACTTTACATTGATGATGTTCTCTTGCTTGAAACAGCCATCAAATTACTTTAGCCTAGAAAATTACTTCTGTGAAGTCCCTCCTACTGTAGTGAATTCTTGGTTTAAGTGGATATTCAGGAATTACCAGTGGTTCACATTGTCCATTGAAAAAGTAAAATAGTGAGTTGTTGGGTTTGGTTTTTATTTTGTAACGTGGCATTTCTGTAACTATTTGGTGAATAGTCCCGAGTGAGACAAATTATGGAAGTATTTGAAATTCTATAATAATAGGAAATTTCTTCTGCAGAGGAATTAAAATTGTGTACAGTTACTATATGTTTGTGAGTACATAAATATTAAAAAGTAAGAGCCTGTTAATTAAAGTTAAGTCTGTTCCCCATGATGTATGTTGAAATATTTCATCAGTTTACTTGCTGTCCAGAAAATCAATGTTGTCTGTCACAAATCATCGTTAAGAGGCAGGTTCTAGAACCTCACAAGCCTGGTGTGAACAAGTAGAGATCTAAATGTGATGATGACTTTAATAACTAAATAAAACCACGTGGCATCCACAACTTAATTAGTCAGATTGTATTTGTAGGCATGATGGCTTTAGAGTGGCAGAAAAAAAGTTAAGCAGAATTTTATGGGTTATTTTACGGCGAAATAGGGAAATAAGGCATCAGTACAAGAAAAATGCAATAGATGTATTTCTTGACTGAATGAATGTTATTGACTTCTTCTATTGTAAACTATTACTTCTATTAAACTATTCTTTTCTTTACAGCCTAAACTTAGCATGGCCAAATGCAGGAGAAATGTGGAAAACTTTCTGGATGCATGTAGAAAACTGGGGATACCAGAGGTAATTTAATTAAAGTCTGTCATATCTAGATGATCAAAAATGCGAAACACCTTAATTGCTTTATAGCTGAAGGATAACTTTATGAACTATGGTTTTTCAGCCACAAAGATGTATAATGTTAAAAAAATATTTAAATAACATGATTTAATACTACTTTAGTGCATGTAAGTCATAACACTTAAGAATTGCAAATTTTGTCTTAAATTACTAACTCATTATTATCCCCAATACCTCCTTATTTTTACTGTGGAAAATAAATAAGGAATATGGTAATATGTAACTGAACAAAAGTTTGGGATTTTTTTTTGTTATGTAACATAACTGCATTTTTACCTAGTTCTTTTAGAATATGAACTTAATTATTTTTAATTACTAATTTTCCTTTTTATACAATATTAAGTACTATATAGTATGCATCGTAAAAGTGAATGATAACCCACTCATCTCCTGTACTGAAACACTTCTGCTGTGACGTGAAGAACACAATTGTGTGTTAAGTATGGAATGTACACATCAATAAGGTTGTTCTAGAATGTAGATGTTAAGTGTTTCAGGAAATTTGCAGTGCTTGGTGTTTCCTGTTTCTCATTTAAGAATGGCAGCATTCATCATGTAATTTATTCTTGTATTAACACGGAAAAATGTTTTTATAACTTATGCAATGAATTCTGGAATTTCATTGGGAATATTTCAAAGATATCCTTATGGTCTTGAAGTACCTAGTAAGAGAAAATTAATTTCATATACATGACCCTCAGAAGAAGGTAAAAGTGTTATACAAGGCCTTTTTAATCTGATGTGGAAATTGCATGATGTATTTTCCCTGTGTTGTTGCCTACGTATGACAATATAATTAAGACTGAGTTCTTTTTAGTATGTGTTTTAAGAATGCTGGAACAAAAGGATGTTTTGTGTGTATTTCCCTCACCATCCCCTTGGGGAGCGGATGGTAATGCAAAGATTTCACACTGGGAAAGAAATCCAATTTGAATTCTTTATATTTTATGTATATTTTAGGACTTGATTTGGAGGAGATCAAGTAACAGTTCATTTTTGCTATTTGTAGGAATTTTGAGGGGGAGACACTTACCTTAGAACTCCATTGAATGGTTCATCATAAATGAAATTTGAGAATTCAGTATTATGTGCTGGGCCTCTAAGTTTTAATGGCTGATTTAGTTCTCGTAATGATGTGATTTATTATGTTAGAATGACTTGATATTAAAGGTTACATTTCACTTCAGAGAAGATCAAAATCTCAGTGCTCTGGGCTTATAGACATGGAGCATTTCTTAAGCTGCCCCCAAATTCATTGTCTTCTGATGCATCATGAATTATTCATTGAATTAGAATACAAGTCAGGTTTATCTGGATATGGCCTGTTGGGAAGGGAGAGGTCAAGAGCTGCTTTCACTGTTGTCAAGAGATCTTTCAGAAATGGAAATAAACCAGAAAAAGTTACAAAGATCCTTGCAGTGCCATATTACAGATGGGTAAGCTAAGTCTTTGCTCTGAGTGTTTTTTTAATTCTGTATTTCTGTAAGTAAGCTTTCTGGAAAAATATCTTTTTGATTTTTATGAATAGACATTTTTATATATTTATTATTATTGTATTTATTCTTTAATACTTCCATTGAAATTAGTGTAGATTTTTTTAGCTGTTTTTTATTTTTTTTTAATTTTATTAGAGTATATTTGCCTTAAGCACATTAGAGTATAGAGCATTAAGTACAAGGCCAGGTCTTACCAGTCTGATTTGTAAACTAACCATCCTTGTGAACCTAAATAAGTGTTAACTTCTCTTGAGAGGAAAAACTCATTCCTCATTTTCTTCAACATTAAATGAATGGCTTGCAATTGGAAATTTATGATAGATTTTAAGTACTCTGAGGATAATCTTTTTGGTTAGCTGTTGGTATTTTGCAAATGTATATATTTGCTGTATGTTGTGAAATCCGCCACGTTGCAGAACTATGATAGAGTTTTGCTGCATGTTGGAGGGACGTATATTAAGATTACAAAGTTGTATGTTAGCAAGTTGGACAGTAAACTGCCAAAGTTTTTAAAGAACTACAGATGGTGTGTTTAATGCTGCTTTGGGTTGATGAGTTGTACGTGGCCTAACACTGGACGAACCAGTAGAAGGAATGCAGTGAATTATTTCCTTTTTTCAAAACAAACATCTTATGGGAAAGTGATAGGTTGCACTTATGAAACCCAATACCCATAGGTATTAGACTTTTCTGTGATAGTTACATCCTTGTCCAGTTCCTGAGAATTAACTTGAAATTCTGCTGCATGGCTTTTTTAAAGAATTTTAAATTGTCGTAGTTCCTGTTGGTTTCTTTTCAGTTATTTATGGAATAGAATACGTGGCATTCTCTGAACTCCACAGGTTTAGAATAATATCCTGTCAAATTATGTAAAATGAAAACCAGAAAATAGCTGAGTAATTACTGTGTTGTGCTGATGTGCAGAGTCTCTTACTTCTGTGGCTTTCAGCATTCGGTTCTTGGGTCAAAATTGCTTTCCTCAGAATGATCCTGGGAAACTTTATCCAAGTCTATTTAAATCTAGAAAAATGCAGTTGGTATCTGTATCCAAATGTGTCACAATAAGCATCGAGAGTTGGAGTCTTGACCAAAGAATTGCAGATATGAAGTTCAGGAACATGAGCAGCTCTTGAGAATGAGCTGGTGCATAGATGATTCTGGAATGGTGTGCCAGCTGGAGTCAGAAAGCCATTGCCTGCTGGATGAGAATTTCAGTACAATGGGTGCCATGCTGAAATCACTCTCTGTTAATGGCCATATGATGCTCCTGATCATATGCAGAAGGCATGTGTTGGATGATAAGCAAAAGGGATGTTTTAAGCATGTGGTTCTGACCTTCAAATAAATAACAAGACTCTCATTGCACTGGGAGGCTATCCAAAGTGTGAGGATTGTCGGACAAGCAACTTGTGGCCAATTCTGCCACTAACTTTTCCTGTTGAACCTTTCTGTTTATTCCAGGGTATCAGCGATGTTTGTAAATTATAATTTTTTTTAGACAAAACATAATTATTGTTTGGGATGAGGAAGGGATGGTGGCAGGTAAGCATCTGTAAGCCTGAAGATTCGGAAAATGTCTTTGCTGTGTCCCTCAGGAGATATATGACAGAAAAGGCAAAATCTCTCTCACCTAGAAAAGTACAAAAGAAGACTTTATTTTACACTGTTAACTAAAAGCTGTCAAATTGCCTAATCGCCTCTGTAATAGCTATAGAATGACAAACACTCTTAATTTTTGGCTGGTACAGGTTGAATAAGCAAGTGGCAGCAGACGTGTGATGAGCAGGGGTGCCCGTCCTACTGCATTTTTCAGAATGATATGCAGTAGCTCAATTGTGCCATTCACTGGAGTAGGTTGTTAGTGTCATATGAAGCCACTATTGACACCACCTATAGTGCTTGTCCATCTATATTGCACCCACCCTTTCTCCCTTTTTGGGTTTAAATACATAAAACAAATTTTTTTATTTGTTTCCCTTTGTGTTTAAGCATGGCCTCCAAAGTGTCAAGTGTACCAGCTGTAATGCAGTTTTACTCTTCTTAGTGGCATCTCATCCCAGAGGTGTTAAAAATGATCAGGAGAGTCTATTTATTATCACATGAGTATGTATGTAGAGTTACGGAAGTGTTTTGATTTCAACTGCTCTTTCATGAAACCAGTAACAACATATGTAAGTAAAGACAAAAATATTCACATATTTTTCTTCAACTTGACAGTTACCACATGAATCAGTGTTCATACTAGCAGCAAAGAATTAGACTTTCCCATTTTAATCTGCAAATCAATAACTTAACTAATATTTAGCTTTCGGTCTTGGTAATTGTTACTCTTGTAATTCATATTACAGAGCATTTTTTTCTTCTGCATTTTCAGTAATGTTAACAAATATTTCTGTGAAAAGGAAAAAAACATACCTGATTTGTGCTGGGCCGAATGGAACTTCATCGTAAGCGAGATTTAGACCAAAACAAAGTAAACCAAATGCAATGTGTTATGTGAAAGGCAAAAGTTTTAGTCTGTATTTTCTCTAGTTCTCAATTCTGAACAAATATGGCATATCAGAAGTAGGACCTTCTAAGCACTTTGTCAAAATTGAAATTCAACGAAGTATTTTCAATGTTTGTGAGCCAAAATGCAGAAGTTGTCTTTTTACAAAGACACAAATTAGTTTTTATAATCTGCAACTTACACTAATATAATATCGTAACAGTTTAGACACTTGAGCATCTTCTGGCCCTTTATGGGGCCTCTTCAGGTCAGAGAAATTAAATAGAGTTATTTTAAAAAAAAAAAGGAAAGAAATATTTTCTCCACGTACACAGATACACCTTGTCAATCTTCATAAAGTTTAAAAAAGGGCCGAAGTTATCATGATTAATACTAGAATGGTAATTTCTATTGATAAAAGGTAGTGATAAAAGTAAACCTTTCACAGGCAGTTGTTATGGCAGGTTTATGGAGCTTCAGTGTTCCAGCACGTCAGTAGCGGCGCGGCAGGGTTCAGTGGGACAAGTTATTTGTAAGGTGGGAATGACAGACTTCTGGCATCTCTCTAACTTTCAGTCAGCTACTTGACGGACACATGCTGAACTGGCTTTTCTGATCTCAAAGCACCATATGAAGACTCACATTGCTGTGAGCTGTGTCCCTTCCTGTGACTTTCAAGTCCTGAAAACAGGAGCTGTTACTGTATCTCACCTCCTCCTCTGAAAACCAGTTCTACTACGTTGCAACATCAGCCAGAATTATTCTAAAAATCAATGTGATTTGTGTTAGTGTAGGAATTGCTAATAAAGTAAACCAGGAAAAAGGCAGGAGGGTTTTTTGTCTAAACCTGGCAGAGCAAAGTAAAAGAAGCAACCAAGCTGCGAATGTAAAGCACTTTGTATTCTCTCCACCTATTAGTTGTTCAAATGGTAATCAAGTTTCTCACTTTAATGCAAGGTGTATTTTCATTGCCACTTTACAGTTGTTTTCTCATCAGTTCACATAATCAGTTACTTCTCCATAGTTTCATCCTGAGACAACCATGAAGTTGCAGTAAGTTTTTATCAGGTATGACTCCTTTCTCCTCCCTTTTGCTCTGTGCTCAGTAATGGACACTATTTGGCCTACAGTACGGAGTTAAGTGGTTCAGTATGCTGGCAATTAGAGCATGCTGTCAATTAAGAGTACTGAAAGCATAATTTTGAGGTTCCTTTCATTTGTGTTTCGAGCATAGTGTATATGCACTACAGACTTCATTCAGTAATGCACTTCAGCAGACTTGCTCTTGGCTGGTTTTTGGCCAGGGTCAAAATTTGAGGAGGTTGGTTATGGAAATGCTGTCTGTTCTTACAGTCCCTGCAGGAGCATGTCCAAGGAGGGTGGTTTGTGCACACAAACAGCTGGTTATGCTTTTCTCCTTCCACTTCTGCCTTACTGCCTTTATTCTGCGTGCATGATTTTGGCAGCTCTATGATTTAATCCTGTCGCTTCACAGATATAACAAATCAGTCCATGAATCGAATGCTTAAATATATGTATCTCTTTAGTTCTTACTAGTTAATAGTTTCAGTCTCCTAAATGGAAAGGGCAGTGCTTGTTATGGGTGGTTGGGTGGTTGGTTGTCTTTGAAACTTTAGGTGGCGATCGTGTAATTTTTCACTATGTCATGATGTCATGTTTTAGTTTGGTATTTTCATTTCACAGCTTCTCTAAAATTCTGGTAACTTAATTGGAAATACGGTACATTACTGAAGTTTAAAATACATACAATAGAAACATTTTACTTAGTAGGGTGTGAACGTAACACCAAATGATCCGTTGTCACAGAACACCCAAAAATGAGCCAAAATGATCAGAAGTTTCTCAGGTTGCCCCAGGTTTCACTGAATTTCAGTAAAGCAGAGCATGGCAGTTCCCACAGGAAGTTTCTTCTGCATGTGTTGGCTGTTCTTTATGCTTTGGCTTCTCCTGTGTACTGCTTAGTAGCTTAATCTCTGGACAGCAAGTTCTTCAATCTCTGTCAAAATTCAACCTATTACCAGCTCTCATTCTGTAACTCTGAAATTGCTTCCTTCTCCATTTGACTGCAGTATGGACTGTTGGGAGCCTTTTTTGGCCAATTTTTATTTTTTTTTTTAACAAGTCCTTGTTTTAAAGTTCTATCAAATTTTTTACATAAGTTTTAAGTTCAATGTATCTTAGATATTTGTTTTTGGGATATATTTGCAACAAGTCGGAACTGAGTCTCGTATGCTATTTTAAAATTAATCCAGCATTTGCTGGGTTTATTGGTGTCATTGGTAAAGTGGAATATATTACATAGTTTGTGGTTGTGAAAAGTTTCTTTGCCCTAAAATTACGTTCTCTGTAAGCAGCTTGTGGATGTAGATGTTCTTGAACGCAGTACTACTCCTATCTCATTTTTAAACAAATCAGCATGTTTTGTTCTGTCTATGGGTTGTCATCCTTTAGAAAAAGCCAAATACAATTGCATTGAAGTTTATTATCCTGCTAGAATTTTGAGTTGAAAAAATTCTGAAAAATGACTGTAAAAATGGCAGTGTTGTTGCAAGGCAGAGTCTTTTTCCCCCCCTCTATGTATCTGCTGGCCTAAGGAACAAAATTAAAATTTTGCAGCTTTTAACTCCTCTTAAAGCCAGAACCAGGCATGGCAAGCAAAAAAGAAAAAAGAAGTGTCACTTTTTTCTTTGTGTATGAATGACTGTTCTGACTTCCAGTTTCACTAGTCGCTTTTCAGGACAGAAGGGCCTGAAATACAAATACAAAATTAAGTATTTTGAAGTTTTAATTTATTGCCAACTAGATGCTGAACCTTTGCACTAACAGAAAACAGACATCTGAACTTCCATGTCTTCATTTATTGGGTGTGCTGTCAGTTCATTAAGCAAGTGAAACTGAAAAACTACTAAATAACCAGTGTTCCTCTGAAACTGGGGATCTCTTTTCTACTTTATGTAATTTTATTTCATTAATAGTTACCATTTTTGCTAATAGTAAGGCCTCATTTGCAGTGTAAAATGGTATCTCTCTGAGTTTTAAAAGTACTAGTTCTTGCTGGGTTTTATTTTAATGTTAAATATTGTGTATGAGTATTGATATTATTATTATTATTACCTATTACACTTCATTTTGTATAGCTAGTCTAGAGTGAATTGTTACATGAAGTCACTGATACTTTCCAAAAAAAGTTTGGGAAGCTAACGTGCTAATAACTTTTAAAATGCTACCTAAGGAATTTAGTGTGAAATTCTTCCATTTAGAAGCTTTATTGAAATTAAGTATAGTTAGTGCTATATTGACTTTTTCCATTTCAATCCCAGGGCATCATTTAAGGTGATATTTGAATACCAAGTTTTAGATTATTTATTATGTTAGAGAATTTTAAATACTTATAACAATTTCTTTAAGTACTTGTTCTTGAAGCTTCATATTGCTGCTGCTTCTGCTTTTAACAGCTTTCTAACCCACTGTTTGCTATTGTATAAGTTAGATTTTTACAACTGGTTCCATTTAAGCATTTGAATCAGGCCCCGATGGACAGAGGTGTGCACATCTCATTGGAATAAGTGGATCACATGCACATCCTCGCCCTTGTGAGTCCGGGCATAAGTTTGGAAGGATTTGAAAGCCTGAGCTCTTCTATCTTAATATTCTGATATTATAAGATAGCCTCAATATTTAGAGGAAATAAGGCTGGGGTGTCTAGTGACTAAGGCAATACTAGCAAGAAACTATTCCTACATGTTTATGCTAGAATACTGTGATAATTTATTTATCAATATATTTCTATTTTTGTATTTTTAATTTTATGCACTGTTTTTTTCTGTTCTAATGGCTGCCCTTCGGGATAGGCTGACCTCTGCTCTCCGTATGACATCCTGCAGTCGGATATTCATCACATTCGAAAGACTGTTGACTCTCTGCTCGCCCTCGGGGAGAAAACCCCACAATCAACTTCTACCTTTCGCTCCTGGGATCTAATAGGCTTTTGTCTTTTCCACATACTTTTTATAGTCTTGATGTATATAACTTATCACTGGAATGTGCTAACAGCATAACCTGTTCGCATGTGCACACAAACTTTCTGCTTTGTCTCTGACAAATTACAGGTACTTATTTCCTTCCTTTGTCTTACAAACTTCTCCCTTTCCCTCACTTCCCTTCTTTGTAATATCTTTATTAATCTCTTGCAATAGGGGAGAGAGGGAGTAGGATCTTGAAGACGAGTCCCATCTCTTCTCCCCCCTCCAGCTCTAGTTTAAGAACTTATGTGCCTCTTTATTTATAGGTTGTTTTTTTTTATGTTGCCTACACTACACACTAAATGTGTTAAATCAGTGAAGCTACTCTTACCCCACTTTTGGGTGTAGGCTGGATGTGTATCAGAAACTAAACAGAACTGAGCATTTTTGTGAAAATCCAAGAATTCAACCAGACATTGAAGCAACTGAGGTGGCACTTCCAACAGATGATGGTATTTTCTGAGTTGGTGCCCATTATCTCAACATACTTGTGTTGAGAGCACTTAGAGAACTAACTTTTGAATTACTGTTATTTTTTTAATCTTTTAGATCAACAAGAGTACTGTAACTTTAAAGATTGTTGGTCAGCTCTACTGTTCCGATGAAATTCTGTACTGGAGTAGTTAATATTTTCCTACTTAGATTTTGTTTCCCTCCAGATTCCATAGAATAATCTTTTTTCTTCTGTCACCCAAAGCAGCAATGAAGTGCTTTTAAACACTGGCTATGTTACAACAAATTCATAGTGGATATGAGCCAACTGTAATATACCAGTGACTTTAGAATGATTCAGGATGAAGACCGTGGAGTACAGTGTGATGCAATAAGACAGTCTGAGAATAAGCTGTTGCCATTCTTACGTGTGACCTCAAGCGAGTCGCGTCACTATCTCGTCTCTGTTTCATCACCTGTGAAAATGCAGGTCGTGTTTGTTTGTTTGTGTAACGACTGTAACAAAGACAATGTAGCTAGGAAAAGAGATCCTCTAGGAAGACTCTAGATTCCATCCTATGAGGTTGTACAGAATAGTCAGACAAACATTAGTCAGGAGGTGTTTTAGTATGTTTGGACATTGCCCATGGTCAATGTGCTGGACTGATGACCTCCGTTTCCCTTCCAGTGCTGGGATCTGTTCTTCTGTTGCAAAACGGGAATAAGAGAAATTTTTTTGCTGTTGTTTACCACGTAGCAGCATGAAATACACAAATGAAAATCAATTGAAAAATACTAGCTTTGACTATAAATCCATATTGATGTTGCAATATTGGCCTAGATGCTGTTGACTAAATTCACAATTCAGTCTCAGGCCGGCTAACCAAGGGGACCTCAGTTTCGGGGCTGTAAAATAAATAAGTTCATTCCTAGTATATAAAAAATTACCTACAGACTTTTAGAGGATAACTAGCATAAAAACTTCTACATTACTGATTGTTTTGGCCATATGGTTATGATTTAGTGTTATACTATAAATATCCCCATTCCATAGATACTTGTAAAATTTTATTAGAAAACTTCTAAATACGGTTCTGTTCCTGGTTTCTATGGCTTAAATATATACATATATAAAAAGGATGAAATATATAATTAGATATGTATTTTTAGATAGAAAAATTAATTTCAGATGATGGATAAATCCAGTTTTTTTAGAGGGTTTACTGTCTAGCAGCTTCCATTGCACACATACAACAACTCTATTGTAAAGAGTGTCTTTTGTGACCAGGCATGAGTTCACTGAGTGCTTCTAGGTTCTCGGTACTTGAGGAAAATGTACAAACCTGTCTCTTACCTGTGTGCCTAATTTTTGTGATGCCAACACTAGACACTTGCTTACTCAGGGTTGGAGCTTGACATTTAAGCTTCCACTTCCAGCAGATCTTTGTCTTGATCTTGGTTGTCTGTTGCTCTTCTAGGGAAGCTGAGAAAGTGGCATAAAGCTTGATTCAGTTCAGAATCTATTAATTGTATGATTCTTTGTAATCCGGTGTTGGTATTTGAGACAAAAGTGATGTCTTCTCTAGGGCTGGGATTTTATTTTTGCTCCTGTAAGTGGCACAGAGGTCTCTGTCAATGCTTTGTGTTGTGCGCTCCTCATATAGTACTGATCTGCCTGTATGAGTATATTTTAACATTTTTTGAAATTAGAAAGTTGGTGAAAGTTGTTGCTACCATCCTATAGTACACATCCGTCTCCTTGTCTAATATTATGTCTGATTATCCACTGTATCCAGTAGCTTTGGGAGGGAGGTAAGAGAAGTAGTAGAGCAGCGTGTTTTGCTTTTCTGGTGTGCAGAAGTGGAAGTTCATGTCTTCAGTGTTTTTAAATGTTTTATCAGACCAGGCACTGAGTTAGAAACTGAACTACTGTTGTGCCAGTGCAGACCAACTGAACATATCCCAGTTACAATGATGTGTAACTCTCTAACTTGTCCAAAGTTTTAACTTTACATATGCCTACCATGCAAACGGAGTTGTCTTTTAGTTAAAATTAGTACGTTTTCTCACTGTTCTCAACTTAAAATGGAACATTGCAGACGCTTTCTTGTAGTTAGGGAATTGAAGCCATCTTGAACCCGACTGTGAAAGATGAACATCCTTGCTTCATGACAAGCACAGCCTTACTGCCATGCATGAAGCTTGTCCCATTTTGTATTTTTTTGGGTTATTAATAGCACTTCCAGATATACATCAATTTTACAGGGAAAGGAATAATAAAATGTACCCTTACATTTCTCTAAGTGTGAACGCAGTAATGTTTATCAAAATATATTTCAAACAAAATGCAAGTGTGAAAAATACACACCTGCCCATCCCTGAAGCCAGTAATTCTCCCACTAAATGGGCAGGTGATATGTAGCTCATTAATCTACTTCAGCAGGCTCCTTGCTAAATTCAGAGTCCTGTTTCTGTGCTGCTGTTCCTGGGGCTTTAGTGGTTAGGAAACAAACAGTTCAACTCACTGGTGTTTCTTCACCTCTGAGATCTCAGTATTGAGATGTACAGTTATATACAGTTGGTACTTACTGCTTGCTGTTAGTGATTAATTTGATGACCTTGGATTTGAAAACCATGTATGCTGTAGTTCACCCACAAATTCATTGATAACATCATATTTGCTCCACCATTTATTTCCCCATTCAATTTTTTCCATTGCAACAGTCATCGGAGATTTTCAAACTGTGATTTCTTCATAAATATGTCTACTCCGATCTGTACTGTGAATGTCCTGTCATCCCTACTGCCGTAAAGCAATAACTACAAACTGTGATTAATTAATTTAATACGCATGCAGGTAAAATGTGTTTGCACTGGATTACAAGGGGCCTTTTGGTGTGAGGATTTGGTTTCTTTTTCCTTGCGACAGAAAACAGATAAATATTTTCAAGTGCAGAATAATGCAGCATAGTAGTCCTTCAAATGTGTATTAGCAAACTTTTGCAACTTAAAGCACTATATGGATCCCATTGTGTTCCTAATAAGTTCTCTGAAAGGCTGCACTTACTGTGAATGAGGATTGAATTAGACCTGAGCAAATATTCAGTCCAGTTTTCTGCTCTATAGACGTTAATGGGTTTCCAAATTATTGCTTCATAATTGCTTTTCACAAGAAGAAGTGTTCTTGGCGGTTTACTTCTGTTATAAAATAACGAAAACAGTCATATATGCAGGTTTAGAAAAAAATGGTAGAGCAGGTTTTGTGGATTATTGCTATTTCCTTCACTTCCAGCTGCCTTATGAGGAAAAAGCAGTATAACAATACTTTAAAGTAATAACCTATTCTACTTTGATACAAGACACTCTCACTCCTTCACTTTATCTCTCAGAATTTAATGTATAAGGTTATGGTATAGTTGATATTTCAAGTGTAAGTATACTTTTTCTCTTACTGTTCAGTGTGTGTCTGTCTTCATTAAGTTGTCTGTTCCTTCCAATTTCAAGTCACTTGTTTTTTCTGAAGTGTGTTAGAATGAAACTGTGAGGTGTTTTTGGTGAAATGTATGGTCTGCTTTTAAAATGTTACAGCTCAAGGCCAGTAGCTGTAAAGGGCTCCAAGGCCCACCATTTGCAAATACAGTTCTGTAAAAATTTGCAATTTATTGCACATTCAGAAGATTCTTATATTTAGATATCTAACTGGCTATAGTTCCAAATTCAGAATTGCAGCTGCACTGTTGAGCTACTAGGGTTTTTGGGTTTTTTTTGCTTTATCAAGTCTCATCATAAGTGTGTACTTCCCAACACAGACTAATCTCTCCTTGTAAATTAAAAGAAAATAATTACAAACTATACTTATAGCCTGAATTGCTGTGCTTTTTGATCTGCTCTTTTCTTTTGTACTTCAAATGGTAACTTCCAGACATTTGGACACCTACAGACATGATCAGTAATAGTGGATAAGGAAAATATATATAAAAATATGGAATTTCAAATTGCTTTAGATATATGAGAAAGTAAATGTTTGCTACAGTTTTTTCAGCTCATTAGAAAGAAAGCTTGGCCCTGACCTAACAAAATGTCAAGATTTGATATATTTGACGTGTTTGTTTCAATGTAAGGCCCTGATATTTCTTTTAGTGACTTTCCATTTCAGAGTAGTTGGCTCCAAAACTTAAATGATGGGCATCACATAGACATATTTTTTTAATTTGTACTTTAAGAAGCTACACATTGCAGTATTTCATTGTCTTCTGAATATTTTTCCCTCCCTCTAGATCTGAAATCTCATATTCTGTAAATACAAGGAAGAAAGAGAAAGGCTCTTGCTAAATTGTAGAACTCCATTTCTCTATATTTTTGCGAATGAGTGTAGCTGGCTCCTGGTGTCATGATGTGGTCATTTTACTACTTGCCCGTGTGATACCCTGGCAACAATCACTTTTTGATAATGAATTACTGCATCTGCCTTGTCAAGCTGTTTGCCCCAGCATTAACCAATTCGACCAGTTATCTTGACTTTGAAGGCGTCTGCTGTCAAAGAAAATAGATGTGTCTGTGTGGCGTGTCACGTATCCTCCTTGTGGGGTTGGTGTCCTTGTGTATTCCTGTTTTCTTTTACACCAGCTAAACCAGATGGTTTGTTCCAGGGTTAGAAACTTGCTCTGGTGAGAACACGTACCCGTGTACGCTGCTGGGTGCACTTCTTGGACGCTTTGGGACTCAGCCTCTTGGCTGCTGCCTCCTCTTTGTGCTCTTTTGGATTTTATTTTTTTTTTTCCCCATCAAAAGGAGTTTGTTCTTTTGCTTCGTGAGGAGTTTGGAAACATCTTTATCCACTCCAAATGGGCTATGTGTCTGTAGAAAATGGTTTGCTTGCAACAAATAATCAAATTCCTCTGTGTTCTCAGGAAGAAAAATTACATGAAAAATGTAGATCTTCATTTTTATAGCAGATAAGAGAGAGATTCACTCTGCTATGAGTGGGGTGGCAGCCCTTCCCGCCACAATTGTTTTTAAAGATTTTTAGACTGGTCTTGAGAATTGAGCCTGTTCTTCTGTCTGTCTGTCTGGGTTTTGTTCAGTGATGGTTTCATCAGGGGTATTTTTAGAGAGGCGATTCATACTACTCTATTGAAGTGTGATGAGTTGGATGCTAATATAAAAGGGACAGAAATCTTACCAAAGGTGAGGAGAAATGCGTGAGATTGAGTCTTCTCGGAGTCACGGGTGAGTTCTTCTCTTGGTTGGTCAGGCACATTGTCTCAAAATGCCAGGATTTAAGGGAAGTTTTGGAATCTTGATGGTTTGCAGCTTCACAGCTCCGCTGCCAGTGGTCCCCGGGTAGAGCTGTAGTGGGTTAGAGAGTGAGGCAGAGCACGGAGAATGGACTGTGCTGCAGGGACAGCAGCTGGACGTAAGGCCTGAGACACCCGGGGTCTTGGCCAAGGCAACTGCTGCCTTGCAGAAAGCAGAGTTGATTATCAGTGTGATCTGGGTTCCATCCTGGGCAGGATTTGATTTTTTCTTTTTTTCCAAGAAGAGTTAAATGCATTGCTCTAAAGCTGTGATTTGAAAAGCGTGTGAGGCAGGGTTGATGAAAGCCATTTCCAAAGCTTTGAAAATAGTGATTAGGGCTTAGATAAGAGAATCGATTCGTGACACGTTAAGATGAAGTTTGCCATTTTTAGGAGATGGCGTAGGTCTTATTGTCAGTTTTGGAAAGTTCATTGTAGCCGCATGTTTAACAGAAGAATTATAAAATATTAACCAAGTTCCACCTTCTGCTTAATAAGAGAAGGCTGTCAATTTTACACGTTTCAAGAACTAATAAAGAGTGATGTATAATATAGGAAAAGTACTATTCTCTGAAACTTCTCCTAGAACACAGTTGTACAGTCCTACTTTTTATAGACCTCCTTAAATAGCTTTCCTTATTTAAATATATGTCTTGTAACTACAGCAAGAGGAGAGAGAGGTTGTTTTATACAAACTGGATTACTATACGGTACTTAAAAGATTTAGATAATGTATTCTCTTTAAAAGGAGAAAAATTCTATTAGACTTTTTTTTTTATATAAAATGGGGCATGCAGTCCTTTATGCTTTTAGTGAAAATGTGCTTATAAACAATTGCAAAATTCCTAGCAAGAAAGCATGACAGAATGGTTCTGAGTACTATAAGGTGACACAAAAATAGTGAGTTTAGAATTTAATTTTTTCTAAAGGAAAGATATGTAGCTGTGGCGTTTTCAGCAAATTTGGCTTAAATAGAAAACTTTAGAATATTCTCAAACATAAATATCTGGCAAGGTGGGCTGTTTTGAGGTTGGGTTTTTGGATTCAATCCCTGCTCTTCAGCCTTGTAACATTAATTTCTTAGATTTCAGGTGTTGGATTCAGCGAGCATTATTATTTAATGCCATTTATTTAGCATGGAAGACTAATGAAACACTGGCACATTGTGGGCCACCAAATCTGTGAAGCAGGAGCTACTGTGCAAGGGCACTGGGAAGAAGTAGAATGGAAGGAATAGCATTTCACTTTGGATATCTGATTTGCATTCCAATAATTTAAAAAATTAATCTTATTTATTGAGAATCAGAATACTGTAGGTTTTGATATGAACCATGTTCCAAAACATGAGATTGGCAATTTTTTATTTTTTTTTTTGTAAGAATCATACATGTTAGGTAGAAATAGTTTCAGTCTTAGGGTTTCCCCCCCTCTCTTTTTTTTTTTTTTTTTTTTTTTT